AAGAGCGAGACCCCGTCTCTACTAAAAATAGAAAGAAATTAATTGGCCAACTAAAAAAATTTATATATAAAAAAAAATTAGCCACGTCTGGTGGCGTATGCCTGCAGTCCCAGCTACTCAGGAGGCTGAGGCAGGAGGATTGCTTGAGCCCAGGAGTTTGAGGTTGCTGTGAACTAGGCTGACGCCACGGTACTCTATTGCGGGCAACAGAATGAGACTCTGTCTCAAACGTTTGAGCACCTACCATGCGCCAGGCCCCATGCTGGGGACAAAGATGTGAAGAAGGGCGAGAGAGAAAGACACCAGCTAGGGAGATAGGGCATCTGCACTCTGAGGGAGCCCTGAGCAGGTGCCTCACCAAGCCAGGTGTCAGAGGAGGCTTCCTGGAGGGGAGCCCCTGCACTGAATCTTAACCAATGGGTTGGGGGCAGCCAGGGCAGAGGGGTGAGACCACAGCTCTGCGCTGGGGTAGCGGCCTGCCCTGGGGCACAGCGGCTAGCCGAGGCCGGTGCGGGAGCGGCCCCACTCGTAAGCGCCCCCATTGCAGCCTCGGAGGGGTAGGGTGGCATCGGGGCTTGTCTGAGCTGGTGAAAGCAGGACTCATCCTCACCATGTCTGGGCCTCCTGACGCGGCTTCCCGCCAGGACACGCCTGGGCAACGGGGAGCTGACAGGCACAGCACCTTTTGAGAGAACTGAGGCGCCGGCCGGGAGACTCTGACTTGCAAAGAGCGGGCTGATGTGAACCACACACTCCATTTGTATACCATCTCCCTTCCCAAGACTTTGAGAATCAAATACTCCCCGAGCTATGGAAACCCAACCACATGCTGCTTGTTAGGACTTTATTATTAGAGTCGCCAGCCCGATTCCAGCCACTGCGTGCAGAACAATAAGCCATTGAAACCTCGTGCAGGCCTTGCTGCCCATCCACTCTCCCGCAGGCAGGGACCCGGCGCCGAGGCCCAGGTGGGGAGGGCAGCGGCGGCATGCCTGTGCCTGGCCGCACAACCGCACCCCACCGGGGCTTCTGGGGGTGCCGGCGTTGGTCTTCTCACTCATCAAGCAGGAGGCCTGGAGAAAGCACATCCGGACGTTGCTTCGCGCCCTGACGTTCTGTTCTACTTCTTGACCCCCGCAGGTCAGGAGCTAATTATACCCGCGTGGGGGAAACTGACGGGCACGAAAATCCTTTGACCCTGCTGAAGACACACGAGGGGCCGTCCTCACCACACACGTGTGGCTGGCATGCCTCGCTAATGCGATTATGAAGAGGGAGCCCTGGGTGCCCCCTGTGCTGGTGCTCACGCGCGTGCCCAGAGCCCGCGGCGGGGATCAGAGACCGGCGGGCAGGGTGGGGAGCTGGGGGCCCAGCTGGCTACCACCCCCCAGCTGCTCTGTGACAAGGTCACACGTCTCTTGCTTATGGTCTCACTTTATTCCCAGACATGTGGTGTTATTTGATCATGAGTTATAAGCCAAAAAAATCCCAACTTTACTAGGATGGAAAAAGTTTAACTCTGCAGAACAAGGCCCTATCGGTGTCCGTGAGAGCCTGGAACCGGACGCACCAGGCCTGGCTGGGCGGCCCGCCACTGCCCTGCTGTCGCTGTGGCTCTGAATGTGCCCCAGGGAGGCCCCGCTGTCTCCTAAACTTACCCAGGCTGGATCCCACCCCACAGATCCCAGCTCCCAGCCCTGCCCCTAGGGCTGGGGGTGGGGTCCCCACACAAAAGCCTGCTGAGAAGGCCCCTCGGGAGAAGCCCCTGGGGAGAAGCCACTGGGGAGAAGCCCCTGGGGAGAAGCCCCCTGGGGAGAAGCCCCTCGGGAGAAGCCCCTGGGGAGATGCCCCTGGGGAGAAGCCCCCTGGGGAGAAGCCCCTTGGGAGAAGCCCCCTGGGGAGAAGCCCCCTGGGGAGAAGCCCCTTGGGAGAAGCCCCCTGGGGAGAAGCCCCCTGGGGAGAAGCCCCCTGGGGAGAAGCCCCCTCCGAAGAAGCCCCCTCGGGAGAAGCCCCTGGGGAGAAGCCCCCTCGGGAGAAGCCCCTCGGGAGAAGCCCCTCGGGAGAAGCCCCTGGGGAGAAGCCCCTGGGGAGAAGCCCCTGGGGAGAAGCCCCCTGGGGAGAAGCCCCCTCGGGAGAAGCCCCTAGGGAGAAGCCCCCTCGGGAGAAGCCCCCCGGGGAGAAGCCCCCTGGGGAGAAGCCCCCTGGGGAGAAGCCCCTAGGGAGAAGCCCCCGGGGAGAAGCCCCCTGGGGAGAAGCCCCCTCCGGAGAAGCCCCTGGGGAGAAGCCCCCGGGGAGAAGCCCCCAGGGAGAAGCCCACTGGGGAGAAGCCCCCTCGGGAGAAGCCCCCTGGGGAGAAGCCCCCGGGGAGAAGCCCCCTCGGGAGAAGCCCCTAGGGAGAAGCCCCTAGGGAGAAGCCCCCTGGGGAGAAGCCCCTAGGGAGAAGCCCCCTGGGGAGAAGCCCCCTGGGGAGAAGCCCCCTCGGGAGAAGCCCCTAGGGAGAAGCCCCCTGGGGAGAAGCCCCCTGGGGAGAAGCCCCTAGGGAGAAGCCCCCGGGGAGAAGCCCCCTGGGGAGAAGCCCCTTGGGAGAAGCCCCCGGGGAGAAGCCCCTTGGGAGAAGCCCCCGGGGAGAAGCCCCTCGGGAGAAGCCCCCGGGGAGAAGCCCCCTGGGGAGAAGCCCCTTGGGAGAAGCCCCTCGGGAGAAGCCCCCGGGGAGAAGCCCCCTGGGGAGAAGCCCCCTGGGGAGAAGCCCCTTGGGAGAAGCCCCCGGGGAGAAGCCCCTCGGGAGAAGCCCCTGGGGAGAAGCCCCTCGGGAGAAGCCCCCTGGGGAGAAGCCCCTTGGGAGAAGCCCCCTGGGGAGAAGCCCCCTCGGGAGAAGCCCCTCGGGAGAAGCCCCCTGGGGAGAAGCCCCTCGGGAGAAGCCCCTGGGGAGAAGCCCCCTGGGGAGAAGCCCCCTCGGGAGAAGCCCCCGGGGAGAAGCCCCTGGGGAGAAGCCCCTGGGGAGAAGCCCCCGGGGGAGAAGCCCCTGGAGAGAAGTGCCTCGGGAGAAGCCCCCATCGGGAGAAGCCCCCTTGAGAGAAGCCCCTCGGGAGAAGTCCCTCGGCCCCCCATCGCCTGGTGCTGGGCAGGCACCGGCGCTGGGATTAGGCGACAGGGCTGGATAGGCATCAGGGCTGGGATTAGGAGGGCTCAGGCCAAAGATGCTTCCCTGTGCCCCACCACTGCCTCCATGGCACAGGTGCTTGGCTGGGGACCAGGACATGTAGGGCTCTGGGGAGTGGCAGGAACAGAAACCAGAGAGCTTTTGGGGACCAAGGCTGTTCCAAGAGAGCTGGCACTGGGAGAGGACGAGGGACAGGAGAGTGGATGGCAGGAGCGAGGCGTGGGCACATCAGGGTCTGCAGGGATGTACGAAAGTCTGAGGGCTGCGGACCTGGCTGTCCCCACGTCCAAGCTCAGGAATTGAGAAGCAACATCTGTAAAATCAGTCCGGAGCCCCGTCTCTCCTCTCTCTCAGGATTGCCCAAAAGACCTGTCCAGAGTATGGACAACAGCGGGCTCCATGGACGTGGGCCACAGGGTGGTGACCCTGGCACCATGCAGGGACAGGTGTAGGCGCCCAGATCCCGCAGGGAGGCTCGGCCTCTGTTCCCTGAGAACCGGACGCACCCGCGCAAGGTCAGGGTGTCTGCCGCACGTCCTTGGCCCTTGGCAGACCATCCCCAGTCACAGCGGCATCGGGAAACAGGAAATGATGACACCAGCCATGCCTGCTGGGCTGGGAGGTCAGGGGCTGCTGCAGGTGAGGCCCAAGAAGCGCCCGGCAAGGCAGCCTGGGGGCCCGTCCCTCCGGCCTCCACCCAGCCTCCTAGACCCCCACTGCGTTGGCATCTCTTCCAGTCTTGCGGTTCCTGCCTGTGGAAGACCCTTCCGTCCAGTTATGTCCGAAGCTGAACATTCCGAGTTGTGGCTGGACAGGCCCTCACTTGTCTTCACCAGCAGTCTGGGGGGGCACCTGCCCCTTGGCTCCCCATGTCCTGGCCCTGTGGGAGTTGGGATGCCAGCCCGGGCTGGGAGCAGAGCAGAGCTGGGGTCTGCACCGCACTCGGGGAGCTGCTGGCTGGCCTGGGCATGCAGAGGGTGTGGGGTGGGCAGAGCCTGTGCCCAGTGGCCCCTCCCCACCGCCTACTGCTCCAGGGTGGCAGCCAGGGCACCGGCGTGTGCATGTTCGTTTGTTCATGGCCCTGCCCAGTACAGGAAGGACCGTGCGACGCCCGGACAGGAAGCCCAGATCTGAGACGGCAGCAGAGGAGGAAGAAACAAGGTGGGGCAGGTGGTATGCTGGAGCCGAGGCCCGTCCAGCTCTGGGCCTCCACTGGCACCAGCACCAAGGGCAACCCGATGGGGAGCGCCGGGAAGGGAGGCAGGACCAGACCAGCCAGAGGCAGCAGAGGTGGCTTTCTCAGCCTGGGATCTGCCAAGAGGGGTCTTTTGTGCTGGTGGCCCCACCAGGGGAGCTTGGGCTACTGCCCGGGGCTCCATGGAAGCCCGAGGGGCAGGGTGTGGACACTCCTCTCAGCAGTCAGCTGGCCCCCCCACGCCAGGCCATGCAGAAGTGGGGCAAAGGCAGGCCTCAGGCCCTGGTGGCATGGGAGCAGTCCTGGGTGGTGGACACTTGGCCCTCCCCCACTCCAGGCTCTACCCCAGTGTGGTCGATCTGAGGCCCCTCGTGGTACGGGGGGGGCCACAGCCTGATTTTGGGGCCAGGAGTGTCTTCCTCTGAGGTCGGGCGACCCCCTAGGAGCAAGGCCTGGTCCAGGTTCCCCAGATGGAGAACGGCTCTGATGGAGATGCTCCCTGCAAGGCTGGGGCTGCAGGGGAACGAGCTTCTTCCTGGGTGGGCCGAGCTCGGGCCTTAGCACCCACTGGGGCTGTAGCGCCTGCCTTGGCCAACTGGTGCCGCCTGCTGGCCTGGGCACGGCCCACGGCTGCCTCCTGCTCACCTGCAGGGGGCTCCCGTGTCTGGCGGTGACCGGCCCACACTGACTCCCCTCGCACCTGACCAGGGCCGGGGGCGGGCACTGGCGAGGAAGGGGGTGGCAGAGGGTGGAGCCAGGGTGGAGGTGGCCAGCAGGAAGGGGACACGAGGGCTCCTAGGGAGAGACGCAGGGTGAGGGGAACAGCCTGGGACCCAGGGCATGGTGGCTCTGGCGCCAGGGGCACAGGAGTGGCCCCGCCCGCCAGCCCGGCAGACGCAGACGTGCCTTTCCCGGCTCCGCCTGTGGAGCCAGACGCCAGCCTGCATGCTCCCGGGAGAGGCGTGAGCGTGGTGGTGGCACACGTGAGGGGAGCCGCCAGGGTTGGCCCAGACACCTGAGCCCAAGTGGGGTCTGTCGTCAACACGGCCTCCCGGCCCCTTGAGACGGCACCGCCGCCCAGCAGGCACACTGTGCGCAGGCCTCCCCTGTGCAGAGTCCCGGGTGGCCTGCAGCCTGGCGCCCCCATGCCTGCTGCAGCCTGGGAAGGCCAGGGCCTGGGGCTGGAGCCATGGCTGGCGAGGCAAGCATAGCAGCGGGACCCTCTGCTCTGGCTGCTTCCCACAAGGCAGCTCCGCCTGTGAGGCCCGGCTGGGTACTAGGTCACACTGAGGCCCGGAGAGCAAGGCCAAGGCACCTGGGCTCCGCTGCCCACCCAGTGCAGCGGGGGGTCCTGGCACGGTTGCAGGATACTGGGTTGGTGGCCGCAGTCTCAGGCTCTCCGCAGCTGCCCTCCTCCCAACCCCCTGGTGCCCCTGCCCCACCCCCTGTGACAGGCCCAGGCCCTCCCCAGAGCCCTATAGGCAGGCCCTGCCCTCCGCCACACCCTCCTAACTGCCTGTTGCCCTCCTCTGCGCACCAACCTCCCAGGGACCTTGGACCTGCCTGAGACCATGGTGGGTGGCTGAGGTGGGGGAGGGTCAGGGTGCGGACCCCCCCCACTGCAGAGTGAGGCCGAGGCACAAAGGAGCCCCGGCCCAAACGACAGACCCCCGTCCCTCCTCCCCTCCACGCCCTTTCGCAATCCAGAGCCGCAGGCAGAAGTGTGCAGGACGCCGCCAGGGGTAATTGCAGGTTACACTGAACAATCTAAGGAATTAAAATCATGTTTTCATTGCGCCATAAAAACACGCGAAGGCGGAGGGAAGGTGGCCCCGGGGCCAGGTGGAGAGCACCTAGCCTGTGGCGCTCAGGCCCCTCCTTGCACTCCTGGGCGGAGGGGACAGGGCAAGGCTGGCCCAGAGAGGGGGCCAGGCACTGCTGTGAGCTTGGGGAGAGGCAGTAGCCAGCCAGCCCAGTGCACCTGTCTTGCCCAAGTGCTGGGCATGGGAGCCCAGGAGAGTGGCCCAGGGAGCTGCTGGTCTGCACACACTGCCCTGTGGGGTCCCTGGTTCCTGTCCTGCCTCTGCAGCTGCCTGGGTGGGGCTCAGAGCCACTGTCCCCCAAAAGAGTGGGGTCCCTGGGCCTGGCCCTCGCCCAGGCAAGCACCTGCTGATGCCGCACCGGCCCCCAAAGGGGGCCCTGGGGACATCCGCTGCCTGTGAGTGGGCCAGACCCTGGCCCACACTGACCAGGAGGCCTCAGGCCCTGTGTGGCAAGAGCCAGCAGACCTGCGGCTGCTTGGGACGTGTGCTGTGGTGGATGTCTCAGTCCCTCCCAGGTGACGGTGCAGGCCAAGAGGCCTGGCCAGACATCGCAGACGTCACAGACGATCGCAGGGTCCTGTGCCAGATGTGTTCTGAGGAAGAGGGGCACACAGAGAAAAGCACCCGGAGGGCCCCTCGGGGCACGGGCGGGAGGGTGGCACTCAGGCCATCGGGAACGGGCATCCCTGGCCAGCTGGGCAGGAGGGAGGCAGGTGGCCCTCACCCAGAGAGCTGCCCGGGGTGTCCTGAGGGCCGGGCACAGCTGTGTCATCTCGGCACAGAAAGCAGCAAGGCTGGCTCAGGTTCCTCGTGTGCTGCCCAGTGAGACGGCTCCCAGGGCTGTGAATCCACAGACTGCTGCCTGGCGGCCGCCCAAAGCCCCCACCCACCCACCCACTGGGCAGCAGGTGTTTGCCACCACACACCCCCCCCCGCCCCCCGTCTGCACCCTTTGTCTCCAAGCACAGGCGAGCTGGGTGCGCCACCAGCCGTGCGTGAAACGGGACACGGCTGAGCAGGAGCTGCACTTGCGGAGGGCCCGGCCCGGCACTTGGCGTCTTAATTGGGCGTCTGAGAGCTCCCTCGCCAGTCATGCTGCAGCGAGCCTCCTCCGCGGGCCGGGCCGTTGAGGTGCAAAGGCATTCCTTTGTGCGCCGACAAGCAGGGTCCCTTCCAGGGCTCCTGGCCGGCAGGCTAAGTGATGTTTTCTTAAGGAAGACACGCAATTAGCTGCTGAGAACGCCCCGGCACAATGCCGGGCCCTGCCTGTGGCTGGCGGCGCTGTCTCCCTGGCGGTGACTGACAGGCGCTCCCGGCCCATCAAGCCTCAATGCTCAGGATTAGCCTGAGCACAGCCGACAAGCTGACTGGAGGACCACAGTGGAGATGGAGCGAGGTGACCGACACTCAGGGACAGAAAGCCTCAAACAGCCCTGCCAACTCCAGCCACTGCCGCCTCTGGCGTGCTGCTCTGGGACAAAGCCCGAGGCTGCCCAACTGCCCCCAGTCTGCCACCCCCAGCCTGCCGCCCTTTCTGCTTCGCGGCGCACGGGCCTCAGTGATGACCTGGGCAGAGGGTCCGGGGAGGGATCCCCCAGGTGGATCTTCTGGCCTGAGGCCAGGTAGCTGCGGGCCCAGCGGGGATGGCCCTTCTTCCTCCCCCAGTGGCTGCTGGGAGCTCGGACACTTAAGGTTCGGACCGGCTCCCCTTGCTGGCAGGTCTTGGAAGCTACTCAAGTTCGGTGAGGGGCCTGGTGGGCTGGCCAGGCCCCGCCAGGGCGATCCTGGGGAGGGGTGGGGTGCAGCGGGGACACCACGGGCAGCACATATTTTGGGAAAACTCTCTTTATTTGCACCGCAGGAACGCCAGGGGAACTCGGACATGGACAGCCCACAGGGCGGGTTTCTGTCCAGGCCGTCATCATCTGGTGTTGGGGAGCCTGGGGGTGCTGGCCCAGGTGGGAGGGGTGGGAAGTGCAGGTGTGGGGACTCACAGCCCCCTCGAGCCATCCCTGCAGGGCACATGGGCTGTCTGTCCAGACGCTTGCGCTCCACACCAGCCATCTCGCGGGCCTGGCCTCCACTGTCCTGCCAAGGATGGTGGGGTCAGCACGGGTGGCCACGCCATCCCTCACGTCCCCACAGCCACGTGCGCCAACCCTCGTGCGGGCCCCCCAGGGAGATGCATCACAGGCAGTGCTACAAAAGTCTTTTGAAATGATAACAGTGTGTAGCAGGCTCTCAACAAAACAGCGCTGTTGGGTGCGATGCTCTGGTAAGCGTTCCCTTTGCTCGTCTGTGTCACGGGTGGCCCTGGCTCAGGAGGTCTGCGGTGGGACAGAGTGCTGCAGGACCCCTGGGTGCTGTTGGACCCCCGAGCCTGTTGAGGAGGAGCTCACGGCTCTGCCTGGTCTCCACCTCAGCCCCAGGGACAGAGGGTCCAAAGGACCCAACCCCGGGAGGGGCTGATAGCCACCAGGGCATGCAAGGTGAGCTGGACTGCCCTGCCCCACGGACCCAGCCCAGTGGCCGGGGCTTAGGGGACATTGTCAGACCAAGGGATGGAGAGGCTCTGGCATTCTCGTCCCTGTGGCAGGTCCCAGGAGGGACTCGCTGATTTCTTCCTCCTCAGAAGAGGAACGACACACTCTTCTGTGTCGTTCTGGGGCTTTGCCAGCTGTGCAAAGCTGCAACAGAGCCAGATGTGCAGGCACCTTCTGGGCAGCAGGGGAAGGAGCGAGGCTGGTGCTCTGCGGCAACGTGAGACTGCCCGAGCTCTGCCCGCCCGAGGACACCCTCCACCTGGGACAGGCCGCTGCAGGTGTGAGCCTGGCCCTCCACAGCTCCCACGCGTGGGGGCAGCAGCAGGTCTGGGGCCCTGGGGGCTCTCCCTTCCCAGCCCTGCGTCTTGGCCACCTTGGCCCCAGCACCGGGCGTGGAGCTCACCTACTCAAGGTGGCACGGCAGGCGCAGCCTCACCACACACCTGGAAGGAGCCTGTGGCGTACGCACCCCAGCCACATACTCTGTCCTCAAGCATGGAGCCCACCCCACCTGCCTACCTGGATCCACGCCTTGGAGAAGCCTGGCGGTGGGGGGCGCGCCGTGTGCCCTCAGCTGGGCAGGGACGGCGGCTTACCCTCAGCAGCCCGTCACCGTGGGGTCCAGGCCCGAGCGCTTGGAGATGCGCAGCCTGACCACCTCCTCGGCGCAGGTGGGGTGGATGCCCACCGTCCGCGTCACCTGTGCGTAGGAGGCGCCACACCTGCACATGGGGATGGGGTGGGGAAGACGAGCAAGGAGTCAGGGGGTGATGCATCCACGCCCCCCACCCCTTGGGGGCAGCCTCCAAGTCACCAGACTCCTCACCACCCCAGCCTCCTCTCCAGGGAGCAGCCAGGACACCCGCCAGCACCTGCTGGACCCGTCACCTTCCTCCTGGCAGATGCCCAGTGCCCACCCACCACCGCTCTCTGGCTTGGCCTGGCCTGGCCTCCTGCTGCTCACCCCCCGAGGCAATGGCCCACGCTCCAGGAGACACTGCCCACAGCTGCCCGGGGCCGTCTGGCGAGCGAGGCCCCAGCCCTGCTTATTCCGTGTAGAAAGGGCCCACACAGGGACCCGGGGCCACACCAGTGTGGCCCTAGCTCAATAGCCTCTGGCTGGGGAAGAAAGCCGCCACCCGTCCCACGGAACCTGCCATGGCCGAGGACCTGAGGAATCCCTGCTGCTGACAGGCTCGGGCCACGGAAAGCAGCACGACACGCACATTCCCACTGTGGACCGCCCACACCCCTGGGGACGCCGTGGGTCCACGGAGCCGCAGCACCCTGCGGACTTACCGGATGGCCAGAGCAAACCCCTGCGTGACTTCGCCTGCGCCACGGCCGAGGAAGTGCAGGCCCAGCACCCGCTGCGGCGGCTCCCTGAGGCACACCATCTGAAAGCCGCAGATCCACCATGGGACCCGCCCTCTGCCCTCACGCTGCCCTGCAGGCCCAGCCCACCACCCTCTTGCCCTCCATGATCTGGCCGGGCCCACAGGAGGCTCACCTTTATGTAGCACTGGGACGCGTCCCGTTCAGCCACCGTGAACTCCAGTGGTTTGTAGTGCGCGTGATAAATCTGGTGACAAGGTACCAATTCCTGGAGTCAGTGGCCACAGCTAAACAAGTCCCATGCGTTTTGCAGCCGGGACGGGCTGCGTGGACAGGGCAGGGATGCAGTGGGGACCCAGAACCATTCATTGGGCCCAAGGTGTGGTCTGGGTGAGGGTGTAAGCCTCTCTCCCAGGAGGGGAGCCACGCTGGCTGCCCACGTGCCCCCACTATGTCACACTGCAGAGCCCGAGGCTGGGCACAGGGCCCTGGGGTGTGCCCAAGGAGGACACGTGGGTGGACACCCCCCACACCAATGCTGGGAACAGGCATGGTGGGCGGCCACCCAAGTTCCCTCGGACGCCGTGGCCCTGACTGGGTCCTCACTGGAGCAAGGCGCTGAGGGCCACAGAGGCCCCGGCCACACCGAGCTGTCGGACAAAGGCTTTCAGCACCCACGAAGGGCCGGGCAGCGCGTCCAGGGCTGCAGCCAAGTAAAAAATGAGCAGGGCCCTCACATGTGCTGCACAGCCATTTTTAATTAATGGAGCTCCAGAGAATACTGTTTGAACTAAGACAGAACAGAAAGAAAAACAAACAGGGTATTTGGCCCTTCAACATCATGAAACATAAAACAACATTATAAAATGCCACGAACACATGTCCCAACATACTTGTGACGAATCAAACAAAAATAGCAAATGAAGTGCCCAGGGAAGGCCGGTCTGTCGGGCCTGTCCCGCTGACGGGAGAGGGGCTGGCTGCGGGGGAAGGGCCGGCCTGCCTCGGCTCAGGGGCTCATCCCCAGGCCCTGCCTGCGGGACCTGGGTCTCTCCCGGGCGCCTGCGAGCTGCTGGCAGCGGGATGACACGGCCAGAAGACGTGCGCTGCCAGGGCAGAGGCTGGCACAGCCCCACAGCAGCCTTGCCCTGTGGAGACGCCCTTCCCGTGGGGGTCATGGCCCGCGTCTGGACAAATCAGGGAGGAGGACCAGAGTGGGCCTGGGGCAGGGTGGGGTTCCGTCTGCCAGAACCCTTGAGTGTCCTTGAGACCCCAGGGGCGGAGCCAGTGGCAGTGCTGGGGGGCCAGGCGGCAGGGCCTCTCTCTGGTGCCTCCCTGGCCTCCAAATGAGGCAGCTCAGGCGCCCCTCCATGAAGGGCAGCAGACCGGACCAAGGCCAGAGGCTCGACCACACCCCGCAGGTGGCTGGAGGCCCAGGGCCACTGGCAGTTCTGGGCCCTGCACCCCACCCTGCCAGCTACAGCCCCAGGAGACAGGCACACTGGCGCCCGCGCACAGGGCCTCCGTGCAGGGCGGGGCCTCCAGGGGGCCAGGGCTGCGCAGGCGGCATCGGCCCGCCTGCCCCTCCCTGCCCGCTCACCTCCACACGCTCCTGTCCGTGGTGAGCCACGGCCTCCTCCTCCGACAGCCCCACGCAGCCGTACTCCAGCGGGGTGAAGACGGTCGTGGGCACCTGCAAGTGGATCCAGACTCAGGCAGACTCCTCAGGCCCCACATCGGAGTCCCCGCTGCGTGACGTGGACAGCGGTGATCACAGGCCCCACCCCCAGTGGGGGTGCGCTCACCCACACCTGGGCCGGCTCCTGAGGCTGAACCACACACACCCATGCTGCCACACACAAGCACACACGTGCAGGCACACACACGTGGGCATAGCACCCTTGAGTGCACATGCATACATGTGCGCCCGCCCACATGCAGGCACTCGGTGCACACACACCCCTCACCGGGCAGAACTCATGGAGCACTCACGTTGTCGTAGTCCATCAGGGCCATGGACTGGCCGAACAGTCGCTGGGCCAGGAGCCTCCCGGCCATGATGGCCGTGGGCGTCAGCTCGGGCCGCCCCTGAGGGAAGGCACCGGGGCCACGTCAGCACCACGCCCAGGGAGCCCGTGCAGCCCCACGCCCCAGCTGCCCCCACCAGCGGGCGTCTCCCTTTCTGAAACCCCCAGCGCTGCTTGCCACTGAGCACAGCGAGGCGCAAGCCCTCCCCGTGTGAGGTTCATCCTCCGGGGGCGTCCCAGGGCCTCTGCCCCCGCTGGTGCTGCCCTCTGTTCTGCCAAGGAGGGGCCTGTGGTGCCAGCCCACTCTGGATCAGAAAGGGAGCTGCTGGTGAGCCGGCTCGTGCCCTTGCTCGCTGGCTCGAGGCTTCTCTCTGAACCCCTTCCTCGTGCTGCTGAAGTTGGGCAGCCGCCTCCGACAGCCCACAAGGGACCCTGCTGCTGCTCGCAGAACTGGAATCCCAGCCAGCGCTGCCCCCAAAGCATTCCACGTGCTCCCGACACACTGCACGACCAGCACGGCGCACCCCGTGACAAATCCCGAATCGGATGGTCGCTCTGCCGGAGACCACTGCGCCCTGCCTCGGGCATTCCTGCACGCGTCCGCCGGGACGGGCTGCCTGTCACCTCTGCGGCAGGAAATACAGATGTTGTCTGGCATTCCAGAAATGAATAGAGATCCGCGGAGATGAATTCGGGAAAGCAGCCCGTGCATTCCACCAGGCCTGACTAACCACGGAAACATCCATGTGCGCTGCACACACTATCTCATTAAACAATGGCGCCGCCCCACCCACCAGCGCTTCCCAGCTCACGGGACTGCTAATGTTAGCTCTCTGCACCACTCAGAACAGCCTTTCCCAAGGGGTGGGCTGAGTTTTTGAATAAAGAATGCTTTTGGCTGGCCAGGCGCGGTGGATGACGCCTGTAGTCCCTGCTACTGGGGAGCTGAGGAGGGAGGATGGCTTGAGCCCAGGAGCTTGGGGCTGCCGTGAGCTATGATGACACCACGGCACTCTTCTTTAGGTGACCCAGCAAGACTCTGTCTCAAAACGAATGCCTTTGCGTGTGCCACATGTTTCTGGCAACACGGTTCAAAATAGTGCAGTGCCCACCATGCTGCCGCTGGCCTAGGAGCCTGGAACTGCACACTTTGCAGCCGAGGGAAGTCCGAGCTCAGCAGGGAGGGCGTGTGCAGACACGCAGGGAACGGCACCCACAGCACGCGACAGACTCCTGCGGTCAGAGGCCGTCATGTCCACGTGGCCTGCAGCAGAGGCTGCTCGCGTAAAGCAGCTGCTCTGCCCGGCCCAGCAGGCAGCGGCCTCGGGACGGAGAGGAGCGTGTGAAGGCGCCTGCGACAGCCGGCCAGACGGGCCAGACTCAGCCCAGGCGCCGCCTGGAACCTCAGCGTGTGGCCTTGTTTGGAAATAGGGTCTTTGCGGATATATTAAGGACAGGACTAAGACAAGGTCACACAGAATTAGGGTGGGCCCTAAATCCAACGAGAGACAGACTGAGGTGGGAGGCGACCTGGAGTCAGGGCGTGGCCACTGCGGGGAGGAGGGAGTCCCTCCCTGAGGCTCCTGAGGGGGCGCGGCCCTGCCCACACCTGGCCTTCTGGCTTCTGTTCTAAGCCACCCGTGTGCGGTGATTTATCACGGCAGCCCCAGGACGTGGACACTGGCAGGAGGCTGAGGCTGGGGGCCCCTCAGGCTCGTCTGAGCAGGGACCCCCTGAGCCACCCTCCTTGGGACAGGCTGGACACACGCAGTGCGGCCAGCTGCGCCTGAGGCTGTGGGGGTGCTGCCACACGGCCGCCCACGTGGGGCTCCTGCCGGGGGCCCGTGTAGGGACGTCCACCAAGGCCTCACAAGGGGGCTGCTGTGGACCCACCTTCCAAGACAGGGAGTGGGGCAGGAATGGCTGCCGGCCTGTGGCAGGTGCTGGCTCCAGGGCCGTGTGGTTCCCCAGGTCTAGCCCCCTCCTGGGAGAGACCCACACTGGTCTCCACTCCACGGCAACAGCATGACGCCCTGTCAGAGGGGACGGACCTGCTGCAGATCAGAGGGCAGGGCCTGCCGCTCAGCCCGTGGGACAGGATGGCCCCGAGGCCGTGCCAGCAGCAGCATGGCTGAGACTGTGCCTCTAGACCAACTGTGGGGAGGCTGAGGTCTTTCCTGCAAGGCAGACCCACGGTGGCCTCCCAGCAGGGGTCTGCTGTTTGTGTTCCCAGCTGTCCCTCAGCTGCCCCACACACCCCACTGGTGAAGGGCACAGCACTGAGACTAGAGTCCAATGCCCACCTCCTCCCAGGAGGAGAGCCCCGCCAGCCCCTGGGGTCACTTCTCCCACAGGACCACAGCCCCCAGAGCATGTCCCCAGGCCCAGCTGGGGTGGGTGGGGACACCGGCTGCTAGGGCACAGGCCGTACCTCCGCCACGTCCCCTATGGCATAGATGTGGGGGACGGAGGTGGCATCTCGGGAGTCCACCAGGATCTTCTGGCTGTCAGGGCTGGTTTCCACCCCAGACTTCTCCAAATTCAGACTTCTGGTTTCCGGAACTCGGCCTGGAGGAGATGAAGAGAGGGCTGAAGGCTTTCAGTAGCAGTCCTGACCGAGGCTCCTTCTGGTAAGCCAGTTCTGGGAAGGTGCGCTCAGAGCCGGTCGAGCGAGAGGCACCAACGGCGCCGGCCTGGAGGCCTGTCTGCCGTGAACGTTCACCCCACCACGCGGCCAGCGCGGCGGCCCCGCCCCACTGAGAACACAGCAGCCTGCAGTCTTTTGGCCCACGGGAAGGAGCAGGCGCGTGCCAATGCTGCGGCTGCCGGACACCAGAGTGCTGAGCACAGGACTCCGGTACCTTCCGTGTGCCCTGGCCCCAGGCCCTGCCCCAGGCCACCAGCGTGACATCAATGCTCTGCTAGCTTCATAGGACAAACCAGCCTTCCATGGGGACTGTGGGCACCCAGCACTCTGCCTGGCCTCCCGCGCCCAGCATGAACAGGCACCGAGAGCCTTCAGCCCCCAGGCCTCAGAGTCTAGCAGGGCCTCCTCCAAGGGACACCAGATGGCCCTCAATGGCCCCTGGCCCCTGTACAGACACGCTGAGGCTGAAGGGCCACGCCCCAGGCTGCACCCCCAGCCGATGCTCAGGTCCCAGGGGCGGCCCCTGCCCAGATGGGGCCTGAGGTCTCTTTCCATTAGGGGAAGGCAGGCTCACGGTGCTGACACAGGGCTCAGCGAGCACGGCCAGGAGCCAGGTCCCTGCTGCTCCACGCTGCAGTCCCCTGCTGCCCAGCAAAGAGCCCCAGCCTGGAGACCCCATGGCTGAGAGAGGAGCTGGGCCAAGGGACAGTGCCTGAGCCACACTGGGATCATCCTGGGGCACAGCCGGGAGCCACTCCTGCTCTTGGGCACAGAGGCTAGGAGGGGTAGGGGATGGCCAGTCCTGGGGCCTTGGGCACGGCGGCCTCTGCCAGGCTCCACACGGCCTAGGGCCGGAGGGAGGGTGGCACATGGGCCTTCTCGTGGCCAAGCGGCTGGCAGAGGACCTTTTCTCTCCTGACTCGGATGGGTGTGGCCACAGCTCTTCCCGCCAACCCCAGGAGGGCAGGGGCAGCAGGCAGTCCCCAGGGCTGGGCCGCTCTCAGCTCCCAGGGGCTCAGGGTGAGTCCCGGACAGCCAGCCTGACTTGGTGTCAATGGCACAGCCTCACGGCTTGCATCGGCCTGGACAAACCAGCTTCCCTGTGGCCAAGAAGTGGGTGGTGCACACCTAAGCATCTGGAAGACGAAGGCCCTGTGAAAGGAAAACATCAAGTCCCCAGCTGCTGTCCGGGAGCGAGAAGTCAAAACACGGAGGCTACGCTAAGCCGAGCTTCTCAAGTTCGTGGGAGGCCGGCTCCGGCAGTCGGTGCCAGGCAGGCTGGCACCAGTGGAGGATCTGCCTGGACACAGGTGATGCCAGGCCAAGTCAGAGGGAGCCTGGGCCCATGGCAGAGCCGGGCACACAGGAGGAGCCCTTGGGCCCTCCCCAGGCTGGCACGTCAGCGCCCCAGGCCCAGTGCCTCCTGGGGCCGGAGCACGCTGTCCCCTGCCTGGCTGGTCCCGGGAGGCCAGGAGCATTCCCTCACGGTCCTCCTGGTAACCGTGGCAACCGTGCACCTCGCAGGTGCTGCCCAGACCCTGCCCCCAGGTCCCAAAGGAAATGAAGACAAAAATAAAAGCAGACACAGGAGATGACACTGCAAGAGTGGAGCGGGCGGCCTCGCAGCACAGCCTCACCAGGCCGCACGGGGCTGCGAGGCTGCTTCTGGAACAGGCGGTGAAGGAAGAGAGTGCGCGGCGGGCGTGGGCGGGGCGGGTTTGGACGCCACACCAGAGGCGACAGGCCCTGCCAGCCAGGGTCCTGGGCCCCGAGCCCCAGACACCCACCCACAGCTGTGAGCCCCCAGAGGCAGGAGTGAGCACTGTCCTGCTGGCCTTGCATCTCGGCCGAGGCTCAGTGTTTGTTGAGTGAATGAATGAGCCCCTGGACCACAGTGTGACCTGATGCTGCCTGCTGTGACCGCCAGTGCCCACCAGGGCCCCGCCGGCCATCCCGATGGTGTCTCACACCCAGGGCTCTGGGAGTCGGCTGGGCTCCCCTGCAGGCAGCGCCAGCCTTTCCTGTTCAAGCAGGCTGCGCCCACTGGCAGAGCGTCAGATACACTCGCAGAGGCTCCCGAAACGCACGGCCGGCCTTGGGTGCAGGGGAGCCTCCAGCTAGGCCCCCTGCAGGGACCCTCGGGAAGGAGGGTGCTCCGTGGTGGGTGCTCGTTACTGTTTTAATGACGATTACCATAAATATGACCTCCCCGAGGCCGGCACTCGCTGAACTCAGATGCACATGGACAGCACGTGATAACACGCATGACAGCACCTGTTTATCTCCATAGCATTTCCACTAAGCTTTTATCTTTGATTGGTTTCCAGTGAGTTCTAACCATGAGCCCTGAGTCTGACCAGGTGACAGACCCGACGGAGGTCACCTCGGGGGCAGGCCAGCCCCTCAGACACAAGTCCAGACGTGGGATGAGCTGCTGGGCGCCAGGCAGGCCGCCACTCAGGGCACTGCTGCCCCCACCCGTGCCAGGCCCTGCCGGGGTTGGCGCTGCTGTGAGCCAGGGCTGAGCTGAGGCTGCCGCCGCAGGAGCAGTGCTGCCCAAGGGCCACTGGGTGTGGCAGGAAGGCCACGGCCACCTCTCGGAGCTGGGCAGGTTCCTATAGGAAGGGCCCCGTGAGTGTGAATGTCCACCTTTTTGCCCTCAAAAAGAAAAGCCCATACACAGGCAGATTTCAATCTCTCTCTTTTCTTTTCTCTTCTCCCTCTCCCTCCCTCCCTCCTTCCCTCCCTCTCTCTCTTTCTTTCTTTTTGAGACAGGGTCTGGCTCTGCCACCCAGGCTGGAGTGCAGTGGTGCAATCACAGCTCACTGCAGCCTCCAACTCCTGGACTCAAGGGATCCTCCCATCTCAGCCTCCTGAGTAGCTGAGATGACGGGGACAGCCACCACACCCAGGTAATTTTTTTCATTATTCTAGAGACAGGATCTCACTGTGTTGTCCAGGCTGGTCTCAAATCTCCCCACCTTAGCCTCCCAAATTGCTGAGATGATAGGTGTGAGCCACCGCCCAACCCCTGGGTCTCTCCTGATGTCAGTCAATAATCACAGACATCAAAATTGCACTGAAATGAAAAGGTGTCAGACTACCAAGGAGGCACTTCCGACCCACACCACCCGCACAGGGCCGGCCACTCCACGGGCTGGTTGGGCCCCGTCACTTCTGAGTCTCCACTGGGAAGAACATGGTGGGCTCTCTGGGCGAGGCTGAGTCCACGCTCAGCGACGGCCGCCAGCGCCTCCCCAGTGCCCAGCCAGGGAGCGCCAGGGCCACCCTCGGGGCCTCTAGGAGGTGCAAGGCCCCAGCGGCCTCTTCCCTCTCGCTGGGCTCGGAGCACTCCCGCCCCTGAATTCCCAGCCTTGGGGGCCTGCTTCTGTCTCAACTCCCACCCCCTTTGCTGCTGGGCACCCACCAGAGGGACAGGACACACCGCTGTGGGGGGTGGCCGGCGGCAGAACGCAGCTGGACAAGGGTGGCCCTGACCATGCAAACGCGAGCCAGCAGCTCGGGTGGAGAGGGGTCCCCGGCCGCAGCCCTCCTTGGGTCCTGGGCACCCCCGAGCCCTGATGCACACATTGCGTGGGGGCCCTGGACACGCAGCGGCTCCTGGTGCCGGCCTGTGCGTGGTGTTCCACAGAAGGCAGGAAGCCAGGCTCCAGGGCAAAGGCTGAGGATGGGGCTGCGGGGGCTCAGAGGTGGGTTTGTGCACAGGCGATGACTCCAAGCTGTCTACAACAAAGCCCGAAGAAGAGAAAACGGCTTCAGCGGCTGGGGTAAGACGTGGGCTGGTTCCTCCTGCAGGGCTCACCCACCACACCGCGGGGCCCGGCAGGCCTGGGACTGGCATCTCGGCGCTTGGCCTAGGAAACAGTGGCCATGTGGGCGAGGGTCCCCAGGCTCAGTGAGGTCCCTCCTGCATGCCAGTCCCCCCGCCACCCCCTCACTGTGGGGGACTCCTGTGGCACAGGAACAGGCCCCGCAGACGGATGCCCAGGCGCATGTGACAATCGCAACGCCTGGTGTCCCATGGCTGTGACCCAGAGGAAGTCCGTCTGTCCATCCCTTAAAGCCAAACCTAAGCTCAGCTGAAGCCTAGAAGCCTCTATGAGGGGAGGCGTCTGCTCAGACGCCCCAACCTGGGGATTCGGGCCACAACTGGTTAACTCCAGCGGATTGGAGCCCAGCAGCCAGGCTGACTGTCTTCACTCAGCACTGTAATCGGCACATCTGCAGACAGGAAATCCTCCTCCCTGCAGTTCCCAGTCTATTATCTGAGACACCTGGTGTGGGCGGGTGATTCACAGACAAACAATGAGCCCGGCCTGCACAGCAATTAACTGCTCTAACTGCTAACTCACTTAATCCACCGCTGGAGATCAAGGCTGCCGAGGAAGGGGCTCCAGCCTCCTCCACTTCCAGGCTGCAGGGCCCAAGTCTGGATGCCAACATCCACAGGGCTGCGGCTGGGCATGTGGGCTGCGCCAGCATTCGGTGCCACACGGGAGCCCCGAGCAGCACCTGGCCTGTCCGTGAGTCTGTAGGGCACGGAGGCATCCTCCCCTTCTGTTTTCATTTATTTTTATTTTTTCAAAACAAGTGTATCAAACTTGATTTATTAGTTATTTCTTCACACTAGTAAACCAAAAACCAAGACTCAGATTTTACATATAAATATATATGTATATATATATATACATACATACATACACATACAAAGCAATGCAAACAATTATTGAGCTTCATCTTCTGGACAAGAATGCCAAGTTAGTTTCTCTTCATAAAAAGCAATCACAACTTGAGGACACTTCACATTTGCCTCTTTTGCCACACCAAACCTGCCTCATCTGAGTCTTTCCATTTCATAAGAAACATTAATTCTCCACTGCTGTCCGTGGGGCCAACTGTTCTTTCAGGATCAAGACCTCTGGCAAAGCCTCTTGGCTTGTCAGCAGCGTCTCTTCTTTGCTGTGCTATCGTCAGATTCATTGTCAGATAAAGATTTTCTTTTCGTACCATCTTTTTCTTTACCAGCTTTTTGAGAATTAAGAAATGCTTCAGTTAACTCTGGACAATCTGAATTTAATTCAGGTTCCCAAGTACTGTCAGCATCTGCAAATCCCTTCCACTGCAGGAAACACTCCACTTTCCCATTTACTACACTTCGATCCAGTACTTTTTCCGTCACAAATTCTTCAGGCTCTGCCTCTTCGATCTTTTTACTCTTCTCATTCTGTTTCTTTCCTATTTTTTGCAATGTAGTTTTATTGGAGGTCTTTTTTTTTTTTTTTTTTTTTTGGAGACAGAGTCTCGCTTTGTTGCCCAGGCTAGAGTGTGCCGTGGCGTCAGCCTAGCTCACAGCAACCTCAAACTCCTGGGCTCAGGCAATCCTGAGCCCCAGCCTTCGTCTTTTGTCCCCTGACATCTCTCTGGACCCCCCATGGATATAGGGGCCCTTGCTCCGCCTCTGGACAGAGGAGCTGGCCTAGTGGCCAGACGCCACCCACCGGCCCACAGCGATGGCAGGGCGCGGGGGGCCAGGGCTGTGCTCCCGAGGAGCCTGGGGTCCTCCCAGCTTCCGGGGGGGGGGGCTGGCAGGGGCTGTGGCGCATACGCCCACCCTCCCCCACTGGGAGTCTGTTTTATTTTTTTTGTATTTTCAAAAAGAACATCGCCCAGATAGTCTGCCCTGCCTGATTGATGCTGGGGTTGGAAGCTTTTCACAGTCCTTGGCCTTTGACCTTGATTCCCAAGGGCGGCAGGGGTTTCTGGCAGGCACCCTGGGGCTGCGGGCATGTGCTGACTGCACTGCTGCTCGAGAGCCAGGTTCTGCAAAAGTGCAGGAGCCACTTCCCAGGTTCACCGCTGGGGATGTTTTCTGCTGGCTCGTGCTGATAAGCCTCGGACCAAGCACTGTCTCTGCTTGCAGAAAAGGAGATCCGCTCCAGGAGGTTGAAATGAAATACCCTGCCCTTCTCGAGCAGCAAGTCCTGAGTCCACACAAGTTGGGCTCTCATGGACGTTTAAAAACAGAAGGGAGGGACGCTGTGGACCCGAGACCCGGAGCAGCTCAGAGGCGGTGAATAATAGCTCTTCAAGTCTGCAATAAAAAATGTCCTCCTTAGGCGGGCGCGGTGGCTCATGCCTGTAATCCCTGCACTCTGGGAGGCCGAGGCAGGAGGATTGCTCGAGGTCAGGAGTTCGAAACCAGCATGACCAAGAGCGAGACCCCATCTCTACTAAAAATAGAAAGAAATTAATTAGCCAACTAATATATATAGAAAAAATTAGCCAGGCATGGGGCACATGCCTGTAGTCCCAGCTACTCGGGAGGCTGAGGCTGGTGGATTGATCGAGGTCAGGAGTTCGAAACCAGCCTGAGCGAGAACCTGTCTCTACTAAATATAGAAAGAAATTAATTGACCAACTAAAAACATATATATAAAAAATTAGCCGGGCATGGTGGCGCATGCCTGTAGTCCCAGCTACTCAGGAGGCTGAGGCAGGAGGATCGCTTGAGCCCAGGAGTTTGAGGTTGCTGTGAGCTAGGCTGACGCCATGGCACTCACTCTAGCCTGGGCAACAAAGCGAGACTCTGTCTCAAAAAACAACAACAAAAATCACCATCTACTTCCACAAGAACATTCCTCCTAGTAACCGACCCACTGTGGTTCACGAGGCCCCAAGTTCACCCTGGGCCATCTCAGATCCTTCCCCCGCAAACCTGTTCTCGTATCCGCTACACAAGAGCAAAGGGCCCAGCTCCCCTAGACTCGGTTTCCTTTCCGGCCCCCCTTGTTCTGGGCAGCGTCTGCAGAAGGGACGCTCTGAGACGAGGCTCGCTCCTCCGGGAGCCCCAGGGGACTCCGCACCCGCCAACAAGCTCAGCAGACACTGACGGGACAGCCCCTCTGGGTGCTCAGCAAGGACACGCGGTCGAGGGAGGGGCACAGGACAGGGGAGAGGGGTGGGGTTCCCGGCGCAGGCTCACAGCGGGCGGATGACTGCCCAGGCTCAGTGCCGAGAGGCCCCAGAGAACCAGAAGTGCCAAGAGAAACCAGCGCCTTCGTTGTACCCGTCGCCAACATTCAAGGTGACAGGAAGGGTAGGTAAAAATGAGCAACCAAATCTAGATGACGCAGGGGCCGGGACGGCAGGACGTCCTGGCAGGTGCAAACCTTAGGCCTCCTCGCGGGAGCCATGCGCAGTGGCCTCTGCTGGAAGCCTATCAGCAGGCCTGGCCAAGACAGCGTCTGGGCTGGCCTCCCCAGGCCCCTCAGACAGCCTGGCTGGAGCAGGGGTCTCCTCCAGCTGAGGCCACACTCCCACCCTTGTCTTTAGGGGGCCCAGCCAGAGAGGCAGGGTGTCCAGCGGGGTCAGCCACGGCTACATCTGCTCGGCCTCCACCTGCAAAGCATGGGACCCGCACGTGACAGAGGGCAGGAGGGTGAGCCCCAGTAAGAGGCCACTGGCCCACACCTGGCTGGAGAAGGCCCAAGGCCTCTGCCCCGCACTGGACGCCACCTTTGGAATCCTTCGAAGTGTGACTCCTGGAAAGGCCAGTGAGATGCCCACTCCTAGCACATGACAGCCTGTAGAGCCCAGAGTGACCCACTGGCGGGTACTGCAAGCCACAAAAAGGCCAGTCAGGCCGGGCGTGGTGGCTCACGCCTGTAATCCTAGCACTCTGGGAGACCGAGGTGGGGGATCGCTCAGCGTCAGGAGTTCGAAACCAGCCTGAGCAAGAGTGAGACCCCATCTCTACTAAAAATAGAAAGAAATGAATTGGCCAACTAACATATATATAGAAAAAATTAGCCGAGCATGGTGGCGCATACCTGTAGTCTCAGCTACTCGGGAGGCTGAGGCAGGAGGATCGCCTGAGCCCAAGAGATTGAGGTTGCTGTGAGCTAGGCTGATGCCACGGCACTCACTCTAGCCCGGGCAACAACAAAGTGAGACTCTGTCTCAAAAAAAAAAAAAAAAAAAAAAAAGCCAGTCAGAACCTTGAACATCTGCATCATTTTTACACGTTGAAAACAGCTAGCTTGTGCACACCCGTGCTGATAGCAGCATTATTTGCAATAGCCAAAAGGTGGAAGTAACCCAAGTGTCTATCGACAGATGAGTGGGTAAACAAAATTATTCAGCCTTAAAAAGGAAGGGAATTCTCATACATGCTACAACATGGTGAACTCTGAGGACATTTTGCTCAGCGAAATAGCCGGTCACAAAAGGAAAAATACTGCATGATTTGCTTAAGAGGTCCCTAGAGTCATCAAATTCATTGAGACAGAAAATAGAGTGGTGGCTCCTCGGGTCTGGGGAGGGGGTGAGGAACTATTCTTTTTTTTTTGAGACATTGTCTCGCTTTGTTGCCCAGGCTAGAACGAGTGCCGTGGCGTCATCCTTTCTCACAGCAACCTCAAATTCCTGGGCTCAAGGGATCCTCCTGCCTCAGCCTCCCAGTAGCTGGACACACGGCATGTTGCACCATGCCAGCTATTTTTTCTTTTTTCATTTTTTTTTTTTTTTTTAGACAGAGTCTCGCTTGTTGCTAAGGTAGAGTGGTGCCATTGAGCGCAGCTGGCTACAGAACCTAAACTCTGGGGCTCAAAGCGATCCTCCTGCCTCAGCCTCCCGAGTAGCTGGGACTACCGGCATGCACCACCATGCCCGGCTAATTTTTTTTATATATGTTAGTTGGCCAATTAATTTCTTTCTATTTATAGTAGAGACGGGGACTCGCTTTTGCTCAGGCTGGTTTCAAACTCCTAATCTTGAGCAATCCACCCTCCTCAGCCTCCCAGAGAGCTAGGATTACAGGCGTGAGCCACCGCACCTGGCCAGGAGCTATTCTTTAACAGGGACAGAGTTTTAGCTTCAGAAGATGAAAGAGTTCTGGAGACAGACGGTGGGGACGGCCGCACAGCCTGTGGGTGTGCTCACTGCCACTGAGTTGTGCATTTAAAAATGCTTAAAATGGTGAAATTTGTTAGGTGTACATTAGCACAATTTAACAACTGTTAAAATCTATATCACTTTTGGGTTAAAAACAAGTAGCTTAAAGCTGTAATTCAAAATACGTATTATGCTAAAGAAAAAACAAACCAAGGCTTAAACCTAGTAGGAAACACAAGGGATTTATGCATGGAAACCGTAATAAACATTCTACTAAGACATGAGGACTAACTAGTCTTCTTTGCTCAGCGGTGACACCTGGCTGGTTCATCTTTGGTTTGCGTTTCTAGAAGGTCCTGGGGCGGCCAGCCTGCTGGGGGCCAGAGTATGGGGTATCCCCAAGAGATGGCGGGAAGTGGCGTGAAGTGTCCGTCGCAGGGAAACAAGGTTCTGCCGGACCCCGCACACCTCGCAGAGACCAGAGACAGGGCGGTGTGTGGCTCGGCGCACGCTTACCTATGGCCCACAGGACGGTGTCAAAGGTGTCCATGTCCTCCTTGCCAGAGGTGCGGTCCTCCCAGGTCACCTGGAGCCGGCCAGCCGGGAGCCTCCTAACTCGGGAGGCAGTGCAGCCCCTCAGGAACCGGGTGCCATGAGATGCCATGTGCTCTGTGACCAGGGAGGACATTTGCTGCAAGACACCAGAGGACAAGCTGTGAGGACCAGGTGGCAGTGAGGTCACCAGCACCGACAGCGCGGGGCCCCCTGCCCCTGCCTGCTCTCGAAGGCCCCGGTGAGGAGGCCACAGGGTCTCCGTGGAGGAGAAGGCGGGTGCCCACTGCCCCATCCTTTGTGGAGAGTGCGGCCCCGCTCTCAGCCGAATCCACAGCCCTGGGCCCTTTGGTCAGGACTTGCTTGGCCGGTGGGTGCTTCTCTAGGTGCCAATTCCCTGCGTCCCCCTAAATCCAGTGGCACAGAAGCACTTCCTTCCCCTAGGGCTCTGCCTGGTCCAGCTACGGCCCTCTGCCCCACCTGGAAACACGAGCGGCAGGTGTGGGCACGGCCCCAGAGGAGGTGCTCCTCCTGCCTGTCCCCCAGTAGGCCCCGTGCCTCTGCCCAGCTGCAGACGGGGCCCCAGTTCGCCAGGACACTGGGGGTTCACACAGTCCAGCAATGTCAGGAGGAAGTAAACAGTCACCACTTAAATTCTCTGACACCCGTCCAGGCGAGCCAGCGAGCTCTGGGCCGAGTGCGCAGGTCCTCCCCAGCCTGCGAGGATGGCGGCCGGGCATCCCTGGCGCAGGCCCCACTGTGCAGGGTGCAGGTCCCTCCCACGTCCCTCTGGGCTCTGACGTCCTCGTCCCTAGAGGGGAACCAGCAGGCCTGCTCAGGGACAACGGGGCCATCGCCTCCCAGCCTAACGTCCTCCTGTGTTCCCATCGGGCAGCCTCCGCCCTGGCACAGCCCTCACCCCTGCAGGCCCCGCCCCCTCCGGTCTCATCTTCACCTGTGTCAGGCTGCACAGCCTCCTCCGCCCACCGCCAGCACCCCAGAGGCCTTCCCAGACTCCGTGTCCTAACCGCAGGGCCTCTGTGCTTGTGCACTGAGGGAGGTGACAGCTGCGTGCCACGGTTTTAGGGTGCGCAGGACAGAGGGACACGTCTCTGAGTCGGCCCAAACTGGAGGTGGAGTCAGGGGTCTGAAGACAGCAGGTCCAGCCCCCCTGCCTGAGGGTGCCCTCACCGGCCTCTGTGAGCTGAGGGCCAACTGCGGACCCGGCCAGGGCGCTGCAGACCTAGCAGCCCTCCACGCAACGGGTCTTCCTCTGTGGGGGTCATGGGGTGTTTGACTCCCTGCCCCATGACAACTCAAAGTTCAATTTTACCAGGCAACTTTTTCTAAAAGAGTTTTTAGTTAAAAAAAAAAAAAAGTGACCCAGGTGCAGTGGCTCACACCTGTAATCTCCTAACACTCTATGTGGCCAAGGCAGAGCCTTGGAGTGTGAGCCCAGGAGTTCGAGGTTACAATGAGCTGATGACACCACTGCACTCTACGTGGGCTGGCAGAGTGAGATTCTGTCTCAAAGGAAAAAAGAAAAAGAAAATCTCAGGCCGCTCACAGTGGCTCACACCTGTAATCCCAGCACTGTGGGAGGCTGAGATGGGAGGATCACTTGAGGCCAGGAGTTCAAGACTAGTCTGAGCAACATAGTAAGACCTCATCTCTACAAAAAATACAAAAATTAGCCAGGCACAGTGGTGCATGCCTGTAATCCCAGCTACTCAGGAGGCTGAGGAAGGAGGATGCATTCAGCCCAGGCGTTTGAGGCTGCAGTGAGCTAGGCTGACGCCATAGCACTCCAGCCTGGGTGACAGAGCAAGATTCTGTCTCTAAAAAGAAAAACAGAAAAAAGAAAATGAAAATCTCCATGGCTCCAATCACAGGGTTCATCCCGCCATCTGTGAACTCAGGTGAGGACTACTGCCAACCTGTGCCCGCCACGTGGGCCTGCGTGGACACCACGAGCCCGCGCCTCTGACCTCTGACCATGGCTGCTGTCGGGACAGCTGACCCCACAGGCTCGCTCGGAGCCCGTGTGCCCCTGCACCACTCACCCCGGTTTGCACGTGGCCTCTTATTTCACCCCACCCCCACCCCGGGAGCCTTGGCAAGGAGGTGGCAGAGAGTTGGGGGGTCACTGAGGTGAGGCTGACACTTCTGTGACACATGCTGCCACTTGCTAACGGGATGACGGGGGTGGGGACACCCAGCCTACGAGCGAGGCTGGGCTGGGTGTCCCATGGGTGTCCCTTCACTGTCCCTTCTGTTGGCGGGAGGGGTGTCTGTGCTGTCCGCCGCTGCCCTTCCTCCCTTGCTCTGTGTTTTCCCATTTCCTGGGCGACCTCCTTGTCCAGCTCAGGGGGCTGCTCCTACAGGTTCAGCCTCAGCCCAGCCCATGCACCCGCACCTGCCTAGGCGGCGGGTGGACGGGAACACGCTCCGAGGGGAGCAGAGCCGTAGGGTGGGCTCGGGAGCCTCCTGCGCTACCTGGTCGAAGCCGCGGAGGGGCACGCTGCGCATCATGACGGTGGTGTCCAGTCCAATCCCGGTGAGGAAGCCGGCGCACTCCAGGGCCACGTCTGCGTGCAGCTGAGGAATGCCAGCAGACGGAGCATCCCAAGTGCAGGGCGAGACCCAGGCTCTGTGCCGGCAACCCACGCCCACCCACCCGCAGCTGGCCCCAGAAGAGGCTCCCAGCCTGAGACCCCCACTGCCACGCCTTAAGGGCACGGCCGGGGATGGGGGCTGTGCCGGCCCGAGCAGGGCTCCCTGAGCAGCACCACCGGCCAGGTCTGCCTCTGCCTCCGCCTCCACGGGGCCCCTGTCCCAGCTCTGGACTTAACCTCAGCCTCTGGGGCCAGACCTGTGACCCAGAAGGGTCCGAGTTGTGATGGAGAGCTGCCCCTGGCCAGACTCAGCTGGCGGCCTGCAGCCACGCAAGGCTCAAGGCAGCCACGTCGACCTGTGCTCCCAGCTGGCGGCCTGCAGCTTTCATCTTCCCCCGGACGTGCCCTCTGCTGACGCCAGGCCTCCTCTCCTGACCCACTGTGTCTGACTGCTGCTTCTGCAGGAGCAGGCCCAAGCATGGCTGCCCCACAGCTGTGCTCGTCTGCGCTAGTTGCTTAGCTGTCTCCGTGTGCGGCTCAGGAAGAGCCTCCAGGAAGCCCTGGCCCCAGAGGTCAGGCTCAAGTTGTCCCCAGGGCCCCGGCCCTCCGCCCACAGAGGCCCGTAAGTGCCCAGCTGGAGGCAGCAAAGCGCCTGCCAGTAGGGAAGGCGGTGAGGGGCGCCTAGGGAAGGAGCGTCCACGGCCCAGGACGCCGCCCAAACACCAGCAAAGGATACAGCTGGCCCCGACCACCAACCTGTCGGAGAAAGACAGAGAGCCAGGTGAGTGCCTCTGTGGATGAGTTTGGGACGGACGGAGAGGGGCCTCTCGCCAGGCACCCAGTCCGCTCGTGGGCAGGAGGCCAACGGTGCAGACTGGTTGCCCCCAGGTACAAAGCCTGCTTCTCGGAGGCTCTAGCTGTGACACACAACATGACACAGTAGCCTGGTGGGTGTGTGGTCAGTGACAAGTGGCACCTGTCCCCTGGAAGGTGCCAGGACCTGTTGGGAAGGCCTGTTGGAGAAGCACAGGGCCTCCTCCTGCCCCTACTCCAGGGTGGGAGTAGAGACCCTGCAGGAAAGTGACGGCATGGACCACGGAGTGCTCCTCGGAAAGTGTCATCTGAGAGCAGAACACTCTGGGATCACGGAAAACCAGGCTGGAGGCCACACCTGCCCGCCCAGCCCTGCCACACCTGGGTGCAGGGCCAGGGGAGCTGGTGCCCAGAGCAGGGCCAGGGAGGCAGCACAGGACATGGTGACTGCAGAGCCACTGGACACATTTGTCCCAGTAGTGCAAATCCCCTCCTGTCATTCGACTCCACACTCCACATGCGTGCACATGCACGCACACGTGCACACACACCACACAACTGCGCACACACACGTGCACTCACACACTCACACATGCACACTCTCACAAGGGCACGCACACATGTGCACGCACACGGTCACATGCATATAATGCCCATGCCCACACACAGGCTCACACTCAAATGCCTACCCACATTCACATAGCACATGCGTGCACACGCATGCAAATGGGCACAGATCCTAACACAGAGCAAGAACTCCCAGTGGGCCGGCTACATGTGGGTGGGCTCCTCAGATCACCCCGTTAGTCTTTGAACAAGAGGAGATAAAGTGAGGACGATAAGCCCCGTGTCAGCGTTAATCCCGGCAGGTACTAATGATATAATTCCATTTCAAAAAGCTGTGTATCCCCTGAATACTTGTGCAGGTGCCCTGCGGGAAGCATCTGGCACGTGGCTTCCTCCCGAGAGCTGGGGACGGACGGTGCTGCAGCCACGTCCGGGGCACGCAGACGCTGTCTGACGGCAAGCTGGGCACAAGATGGTCCCAGCTGGCAACACGCCCCTTGGCACATGGGGCTGGCAACACCTAAGAGGCGGCGGGTGTGCACAGCACCCACATATGTGCAAACACGTGTGTGTAGGTGCAGCGGCACATCTGTATACAGAGGTATATTTTGAAAATTACAAAACCTACCTCTTTGTGGACTTGACATATTTGGTGCAAGGCATAAGCCTTTTTTAAGACATGAAATTATGAGTTACTGGGAATACAAACAGAGCCCAGCTGCTTTGAATATCCTGCCCTACACTCGGCCTGGCATGGGTCACTACCTCCCACCAGGCCGTGCAGGTACTAGCGGAGCGACACCAGGGTGGCCCCCTGTGGAGAACAGGGTGCCCGCTCATCTCAGAGGCTTTCTGTTCCCCGAAAGCTGACCCTCCTTTGGGAGTGGGCCGGTTGCAGCTGCAGCCCACAGGACGGGGGCGGGCTGTTTCCAAGTAACAGGGGCCTCATCCCTGCAGGCACATCTGGGAGAAGGCAAGCACCGGCAGGCACATTCCCGAGTGGGCATTCTTGCTGAAATCTCTCGCTCTGCCACTCATGTGCAGGGAGACTCAGGGCCCCTTCTCGCCTGCGTGAGTGAGGGTTACCGACGGCACTGGTTTTCGCTTTGCCCCACCCCCAACCGACCAAATAGCATGAATGTTTACCCTCGAAGAGTGCAGGACAGAGAACTCAAACAGGGGCCTCCCTTTGAGTCCGCTAAAGTAGAAAACGCCTGCGCACAAGCAGAGGCTGACGCCGAAGCCTCTGGATCAGGAGGAAGGGCAGGCCCTGAAGACACAGGCGCCTGCAGGAGCTGAGACCAGCTGCAGCAGTGCAGTGTCCAGCACGGGCCGTGGCTGGCCACAGGAGGGTGGCCGTTCTGGCCACAAAAGTCAGGGGCCAGCTCTGGGGGAGGGGACTGGAACCACTGGACTTAGCACTACCTTAAAAGACCAGGAGCTCAGGGCTCTGCCCACACTGGAAGTCACCGCCCTCCACCCCCAGAGCCTCGAGTTCAATTTGACATGTGCTCCGGGCAGCCACGCTCTCTGGGCCTCTCGATGTGCGAACGCTTTCCGAAGAGGCACGACTACTGTGGGATTAGCCTAAGCACAGGGCAGACTTTCTTGTTCAGTCGAGGGCAGGGAGGAAGCAGAAACAAAAGCATTAACAGGCCCACGAAGCCCAGGCTTAAGGAGCAATCCACCGGCCTCTCGAGCTGAAGCCCCGACCCGCCTTCCAAAGGGAGCACCCACACAGGTGAGCGTCTTGTGGGAGGCACCTGGCCACTTGCACTCCTGCCAGCGCAGGAAATGCCAGCCAGGCTGCCAAGCTGTGGGCACAGGGAGGCAGCCGGCCCTGTGGCGGCCGGCTCCTGGCTTGCCTGGGACCTGCAAGCCCCACCTGACTCCTTGGGGCCCGGCCGGAGCCTATGTGTGCTGCCCTGTCACAGATGCCACTGAGGCCTGGCCCTGTGACGTCTCAGCCACAGGGACGCACTGGGAAGGTGGGCAGAGGGGCTGTAAAGTCTGGTGATCAAGTCCTAGGCGGACGCTGTGCTCCCTCCCGCTGGACACAAGGATATCGCGTCACGCAGACAGGATGTGGAGGTTAAGCAGAAAATGAAACCTTAAGCAGCAGTGATTCCTCCTAAATCCAAACTGTGGTGTCCTTCCTGAGATCAAATTTACCTCTTTTCTCTTGCACTTAGGAAGGCAGAAAAACGACTGCAGTACCTGGCCAGCTTTTGGATGTCATAAGGGTCAAACTAAACCTCCTTCTGTGACAAACTCTGACAGGTGGCGTTAAATCAGCCCAAATTACGAAAACGCTCTGCCTGTGGAGCCCTGAGAGGCCAAGGACAGACAGTGCAGGGTGGCTCCAACCGAGCTCATCACGTGGGGCCATGTGCCCTGCACCCCCTCCCGAGCTGGCAGTGGGCAGCTGCTCGTGGTGGCCTTTCCAACCCTGTTCCTCCCCGAGAACCTCCTTGCTTCCCCAGCCTGTCGGGATCCCACGCAGAAGGGAAGAAACAAGACGGAAGGGAAAGGCAGGCCACCCAGGCAGGAGGCCGCGTGAGGCAGCTGAGGCCAGGCCGCACGATCTGGAGCCCCGCCCAGGGCCGCCCCTGGCCCTGCCCTGCCCCGCCCCACTCACACCAAGGCCAGGAGGACGCCTCTTCCCCCGCGGGTGTGGCTCTCCTGCTTTTCCAGGAGTTTTCTACCCATCACCTGTCACCTGCCTGGGTTCCAAACCAGAGGCTCAGCACACGCTGGCCAACAGGTGTGGTCCCGTTTTGTGGGCAATCCGGCTGCGTAGTGAAGGGCGCTGTTGACTCTGTCACCCTCGTCGAGGCTCAGGCCAGAACACCTGGCCTCTGCTGTCTGTCCAACCCGGGCTCCCTGGGACCTGGTGCCAGGGAAGGGGAGGGGCTCCCCACGCTAGGCCCAAGGTGCACCGTGATGCCAGGTGGTCTCTTAGGGACAAAGACAGAGTGGAGTGGCCTCTGGGGCCTAAGGGCTGTAGGCCCCACACAGACGCCCTCTGGGAGGAGGTCCCAGCCCTGGCCGGGCCTGCTGGGTGCTGGGGTGTGGGCTGTGCAGGCCGGATGGGCTGGGCGCATCCTCAAGCCAACTGGGGCCGCGGTGCCCATCACAGGCGGAGGTGCGGGGACTCTGCCCACCAGCCGCCTGGACGGGGCCAGGTGGAAGCAGCCCCCCTGCCTCTGGGCGGCACTCAGGCCGGGCCAGCAGCCCTGGGGTCCATATTAATTTCAGCTCCGTTTTAAAAGCAAGTTAAAATAAACACAGGGAATATTTATAAGGCAAATAAATCTGGCAGAAACAGCCCCTCCAAGTGTGAGTGGAGGCCTCCCCCTCGGCCCCAGCCCAAGCTGATAAAATACAGAAATGCTACTGTAGACCCTCCGGGCTTATTTTGACTGCGGTGGAGGAATGTAACATGTAAACACTGACTCCCACATTACACTGTTACAACTTGCATTAACAGCACCGGACAAAAGCCGCATTTTCACAGAAGCTTCGTACAGGGATATATCTCCAGCTTAATTTTTTAAAAAAACCATTTCCTCACATAAATCATGCTCAGAACGAAACGGGTGACTGATACATTGCAAACACTTTTTTTCTTAAGCAATAACATACCTAGATTCCTCTACACGAAAGAGCTTCAAAAAAACAAAAAAAAAACAAAATAAAAACTTCTAAATGTTTTTATTCTGAAGAAAATAAACACTGTAGTTTCTTTCCTGACCGAAATATCTGGGCTGTGTCTTCCCAGCCGTCCCGAGCACAGGGTTTCAAGGAGCAGCTCCGAGCCCGAGCCACCTCCTGGGCCACACCGCTGGGGCCCGGAGGCCCAGGCTGCCCTCCCCTGCCCCGCACGGCAGCCTCCGCCCTCGACAGGACCATGCGTGTCCGGGACTCAGAAAGTGCTGGCCCCGGTGATTGGCACAGAAGACCCAAGCACATGGGTGGCCTCAGCTGAGACAAAGGTGTCACTGTACATTCAAGGCTGTTTCCTCCTGGCACAGTGGCTCGCGCCTGTAATCCTGGCACTCTGGGAGGCTGAGGCGGACGGATCGCTCAAGGTCAGGAGTTCAAAACCAGCCTGAGCAAGAGCGAGACCCCGTCTCTACTATAAATAGAAAGAAATTAATTGGCCAACTAATATATATAGAAAATGAGCCGGGCATGGTGGCGCATGCCTGTAGTCCCAGCTACTCGGGAGGCTGAGGCAGCAGGATCGCTTGAGCCCAGGAGTATGAGGTTGCTGTGAGCTAGGCTGACGCCACGGCACTCACTCTAGCCTGGTCAACAAGCGAGACTCTGTCTCAAAAAAAAAAAAAAAACAAGGCTGGGTGTGGTGGCTCACATCTGTAATCCTAGCACTCTGGGAGGCCAAGGCGGGTGGATTGCTCGAGGTCAGGAGTTCTAAATCAGCTTAAGCAAGAGCAAGAGCCTGTCTCTACTCTAAATAGAAAGAAATTTATTTATTGGCCAACTAAAAATATACATACAAAACCAATTAGCCGGACATGGTGGCACATGCCTGTAGTCCCAGCTACTCAGGAGCCTGAGGCAGGAGGATCGTTTGAGCCCAGGAGTTTGAGGTTGCTGTGAGCTAGGCTGACACCACGGCACTCTAGCCCGGGCGACAGAGCGAGACTCTGTCTCAAAGAGAAAAAAAAACAAAAACAGGGCGGGGCGTGGTGGCTCACGCCTGTAATCCTAGCACTCTGGGAGGCCAAGGCGGGCGGATTGCTCAAGGTCAGGACTTCAAAACCAGCCTAAGGGAGACCCCGTCTCTACCAAAAATAGAAATAAATTAATTGACCAACTAAAAATATATATACAAAAAATTAGCCGAGCATGGTGGCACATGCCTGTAGTCCCAGCTACTCGGGAGGCTGAGGCAGTAGGATCGCTGAGCCCAGGAGATTGAGGTTGCTGTGAGCTAGGCTGACACCACGGCACTCACTCTAGCCTGGGCAACAAAGTGAGACTCTGTCTCAAAAAAAAACAAAAAACCCACAAAAACCAAAAACCAAAAACAAACAAACAAAAGGCTCTTCCTTCATGGGTCTAGTGGACAGAGTGCTGCGGAGAAGCCAGAGAGCACGCCCAAATCCCACCAAGAGATGCCAGGGTGAGAGCCGAGCAGCCCTGGTGGCCAGAGCTCGAGGCAGGCCTCGGGACCCTGAGGAGGACAGTGCTCTGAGGTGGGGGGACCCAGCAGCCCTCCCTCTCCCCACCACAATGGTAACCAGCCCCAGGATGTGAAAGAAAATCCAACCAGTGGAAGCCCCAAAGGGAAATACAGGAGCCTTTCTTTAAAAAAAAAAAACTCTTGGGGTAGGGCGGGTTTTACCAAACATGCAATAAATCTAAAAGCCACTAAGTGTAAAAGAGATTTAAGTTACATCAAAAACAAAAGTTAAACCATCTGTACATGACACAAGCTAAAAGACATGAGAAGCTGAGAAAACCTGCATGGCCTGGAATCCTGTCCTGATAAGCAAACCGGGCTGGAAGATAAGGCGGAGATGAGAGAAGGAAGAGGCGGGAAGGGCCCGGCCGCTGGGGCAGTCCACACACACGCACGCTCGGCTTCAAACAGGGCCAGTGAACACACGGAAAGAGGACTCATCGCAGCAAACACAAACAGGTAACTCAGAAATTGTGGCATAACAGGAAAAAGAGATAAATGTGACAACATAAAAATGTAAATCTTCTGCACGAAATAACACAACTAGGCCAAAGGACACAGCACTGCCTGGGACCCAGCCGAGGGCCTGGGCAGCCGGCCACACGCGGGCTGGAGCTTGGCGCAGTCCCGGGAGGGACCTGGACCTGCCGAGGGGGCAGCGCCTGTGACCCCCAGTATCAGGAGGGGACAGCTGACGTCAGGGCTCTGAGGGAGGGTGGGACGAGGTGCGGCTGGGCTTTGGGGACGGATGCGTCCGTGAGACCAGCTCCCACCTACAAGGAGGGCTGCCGTCCCCAACACAGAAAACACCACGAGGGGGCAAGGACGTGCAGAAATTGAAACCCTCGTCTGCTGCCGGTGGGAATATACAATGGTGGAAAACAGTACAGTGGTTCCCCAAAAAACTAAACATAGAATTACCATGTGCTCCAGCAAATCTACTTCTGGGTATGTACCCAAAGACTGAAAGCAGGGACTCAGACACATATTTGCACACCTGTGTTCGCAGCAGCGCTGTTCAGAAGAGCCAAGAAGTGGAACTAGCCCAGTGCCCATCCATGGATAAATAAGCCTTAAAAATGTGGTCTGTCCAAACAATAGACTATTTTGCAGCCTTAGAAGGAAATTCTGACCCCCGCCACAACATGGAAGAAGCGTGAGGACATCGCGCCAAGGGAAATAAGCCAGGCACAAAAGCACAAGCTCCGTGTGCCCCACTGACGTGAGTGGTCGCATTCACAGAGACGGCAAGTGGGGTGGGCTGCCAGGCCGGAGCAGGAGGGCGGGAGCTGCCTGCAGCTCTGCACGGAGCAAACTTGCGGAGGCGGGCGGTGGCCGGCGATGGCTGCCCAGCATTATAAGCGCAATGGCACTGAGCTGTATGCTTAACCCTTTGCACTCGCTTGATTTTTTCTCATTATCCACTCCACATTATCCACACTTGACATCCGAGTGCAAAGGGTTAAAAACGGTTGAGGCCGGGCACGGTGGCTCATGCCTGTAATCCTAACACTCTGGGAGGCCGAAGTGGGAGGATCGTTTGAGCTCAGGAGTTCGAGACCAGCCTGAGCAAGAGTGAGATTCCATCTCCACTAAAAAAATGGAAAGAAATTAGCTGAACAACTAAAAAATATATATATATAAAAATTAGCCAGGCATGGTGGCACATGCCTATGGTCTCAGCTACTCGGGAGGCTGAGGCAGGAGGATCGCTTGAGGCCAGGAGTGTGAGGTTGCTGTGAGCTAGGCTGACGCCACGGCACTCTAGCCCGGGCAACACATTGAGACTCCGTCTCAAAACAAAAAACAACAACAACAGCAACAACAACACAGTTGAACTGGTAAATTTACGTGCATGTCATCACAACAAACAACTGGGGGACACGTGTGAGAGGCAGCTGTGAAGGCCACAGACGCACCACGGGGGTGCTCACTGCAGCCTTCGCAATGCCGGAGGAGAAGCTGCAGTGGAAGCCACTCCACGTTCATCCGCTCCAGGAAGTCAAGACCTGCCCCCAGATAGACACAGCCTGTGACATGTGGAACAAGGATGTGCAGAGCATGGGGCACACGCACTCGCACTCCAACGTGCACACAACACTCACCCATGGCACACGTGCACATGCCTGCCCACCTCCGGGACACGTTTCCACAACTATTCTCCCCAAGAGGAGCCCCAGGCGGCCGAGCCTGGCTATCAACCAGGTCTCTGCCGCCCTCTCGTGGCCTCTCTGGTCTCTGCCAGCAAGCAGTCCCCACCCCTTGCATCCCACCAGCTCCCACCTGGACAGGGACCTGGGGACAGCCGCTCACGGGATGCGCCTTAGTGCCTTGACGCCTGCTGGTCTCCAGCAACCGGGCTGTGGTTTTGAGGCCACAGATCTCGGGCTCTCTCCTCCTGGCTTCCTCCCTGACGGCACAACTGGAACCCCGGGGCTCCTGGGAACCCTGACGCAGGACAACGACTGACCCAGATGACAAACAGCTGGCTCCCTGCACATGTGCGGTCCCCAGCCCGTCCCCAGCCCCTGGGCCTCAGACCAGCACTGGTGGGTGGCCTGTGAGGAACCCAGCCGCGGAGCAGCAGGTGAGGGCGGCGAGCAGCAGGCTCCATCTGCATGTGCAGCTGCTCCCTTCCCTGTCACTGCACGAGCCCCGCCTCCGTTTGGCTCCCGCAGGGGCGCAAACCTCCCAGGAGTGAGGGTCTAGGCTGCGGCTCCTGGTGAGCATCTACCGCCTGGCGATCTCAGGTGGCACTGGGCGGTGGTGCCAGCGCTGAGGAGCGGCTGCAAATGTAATAAATGTAAAGCGCTAGAATCGGCCCAGAACTATCCCCTCACCTTGGATGTGGGAAAACTGTCTTCCAGGAAACCTGCCCCTGGTGCCAACACGGTTGGGAGCTGAGGCTTTATGTGACAGACACTGTGCTTATTTGTAAGCCAGCTGTGGGACGCAGAAGGGCACAAACAACACGCTTCCTTTCCTTCTCCGCGCTGAACCAGAAGAAGGTGCTGAGAACTGAGGCCGGCTCACTCCCAGGGCCCTGGAGCTCACTCTGGGGAACAAGCAGGGGACCCCTTTGAGCACACCGCAGTCCTTACGTTTTTCCAGGGGATTCCTTCAGCCAGAAGATGTCATCACTTGTAATTCCATATTCCAGCGCACCTTCGATCTGCCAGGGCAGAGAGGACCCATGGGACAAGAGCTCCACCTGGCCGGTCCCAAGTACTTGCTCCAGAGGGTGTCTGTTCTGCAGACTTAACCTGACCTGTCCCAGGACACAGCTGGGCAGGGTGTCCCTGCCACATCCTTTTTTTTTCTTTTTTTTTTGAGACAGAGTCTCGCTTTGTTGCCCAGGCTAGAGTGAGTGCCGTGGCGTCAGCCTGGCTCACAGCAACCTCAGACTCCTGGGCTCAAGCAATCCTCCTGCCTCAGCCTCCCGAGTAGCTGAGACTATAGGCACATACCACCATGCCCGGCTAATTTTTTCTATATGTATTAGTTGGCCAATTAATTTCTTTCTATTTATAGTAGAGACAGGGTCTCGCTCTTGCTCAGGCTGGTTTCGAACTCCTGACCTCGAGCAATCCGCCCGCCTCGGCCTCCAGAGTGCTAGGATGATAGGCGTGAGCCACCACGCCCAGCCCCTGCCACATCCTTATTGTCCCCGCCAAGGAGGTTGTGGCCTCCTTGGGAACAGACAGTAACCTGCCTCCGTCGCATTGGTACACCCCTCCGGGCAGGTGTGGCGGCAGCTCCTTCCTCTTTGCTCTCAGGGCCCCTCCCCTTGATCTGGATTCAGGTATGGGCCGAGGTGGGTGTGGCAGCAGACGCCACCCAGGTGGAGTGCTGGGCCCTCTGGAGTCCTCTGGGCCCCAGTAAGGGAGGAGACAGGCACGCAGACCAGGGGAGCAGTGCCCAGGCTCCAGGGTCCCAGACTCGAGGAGCAGCAGCAAGTGAAGACAGGGTGGCAGATCAGGAGTAGGGGAGCCCCCGGCGTCCGGGCAGCAGGGTGGCATGCGGGGCTGGCAGAGGGGAGGAGAGAGTGGGCGGGGTGTGAGGCCAAGGGGCTGGAGGGGCAGTGGCCCCAGGGGCCACTAGGCTGAGGGTTGGGCCAGCTGTGGGCCCTCAAGGGCTGGCCCAGGTGGGCTCTGGGCCCAGAAATCATACAGACCCCCCAAGGAAGAGCAGCCATGCCGGTCGGGGAGGCCCAGGGCAAACGCCTGCTTAGTGGTTTTGAGAGCAAGATGGACTGGCGGAGGAAACGGATCTCAAACAGTTTATGCTTCCAATTGGCAAAGAAAATAAAGTCAGGAATTTCTCAGGTTTGCTCAAGGAAAACCCAAAGGTCTGAGAGTCAAAAGGACTAAAATACCAGCAAGCCCTGGCAGGCACCAAGGAGGGCCCCGAGAGAGAGCATGTGGCCACCGAGCTGCTCCCTCCAGGACCTGGACGCCCACTTCATCCCCCCAGGATCTCTGAGACATCAGCAGCTGCCCACGAGGCGCTGGGGAAGGGAGCCGAACCAGGGTCTCTCCTTGGGGTGCCCTGGCACATATGTGTGCCCACTTCTGCCAGTGCCTGGAAGGAGCTGAGGTGTCTGCCGGGCTCCTGGGAGCTGACCCTAGACTTCAGGAGAACCGCCTTTAGGCAGAACCACCATGAGCCCAGCTGCCGGGTGCAGGGGGTCATTTTGACCCTGTCTGCCACAGCTACCTGGAACCACAGTGCAGTGTCATCACAGCTGCACTGTGTGTAGCCACGGTGTGGGCCACACGGCCCATCTGGGCCCGCCTCTGTGCACAAGCACCCCGGCCCTTCTGGAGGCTGCCGTTGTTGCTTGACGGCCAGCAGAGAAGCCCCGTCGTGCTCTGAGGGCCAGAGGTGCTCGCCTTCCCCTAGGCCCCTCTGCTCCCTGTTTCTGGGCAAGCACAGAACTACAGCAGAGGTCGGGGACAGAGGTGGCCATGGGGTCCCACCTGAGAAGCAGCAGAGACCCCTTGCTCTGCCTCTGCCTACACTTCCCCTGCATCTGAGTCAGAGGCTGGCATGGCCTCCAGCCTGGCACCTGGCACCTATCACCTTCCTGGGCTTTGCTGCTGCTCACACCGAGGCTCGGGGCTGGCGGCACCCATTCCCTGGGAGGCCAGACAGGACGTGGCCTCAGACAAACCCCTCTGCTCCCCCACTTCCTTTCCCTGTGGCACCGCCCCACCCTCACCCTGGCCCCTCCTCAGCTCGGGGCCCACATCCCACAGGAGGTAATCACCCCTGTTAAAAACAGTGAAAAAACGGGTCAGGCGTGGCCGGGCGCGGTGGCTCACGCCTGTAATCCTAGCACTCTGGGAGGCTGGGGCGGGCGGATTGCTCGAGGTCAGGAGTTCGAAACCAGCCTGAGCAAGAGCGAGACCGTCTCTACTATAAATAGGAAGAAATTAATTGGCCAACTAATATATATAGAAAAAATTAGCCGGGCATGGTGGCGCATGCCTGTAGTCCCAGCTACTCGGAGGCTGAGGCAGGAGGATTGCTTGAGCCCAGGAGTTTGAGGTTGCTGTGAGCTAGGCTGACGCCACGGCACTCACTCTAGCCTGGGCAACAAAGCGAGACTGTCTCAAAAAAACAAAAAACAAACGAAAATGAAAAATAGAAAGTGGTGATAGTGAGCATGGGAAAAAGGGTGTGTAGGCTGCAGATGTGTATGCACAAGTGTGAACAGTGGGTTCCCCTAGCCCAGAGATGGTGCGGTGGCACAGGGAGGCCACGCCTGGGGGACACTCACGTGCGTGGGGTACCTCGGCCGCCCTCCAGTGGCAATGACGATGTGGTCGGCTGAAAGCAGAGCCTAGAAAGAAATTGAGAAAACTGCAGGTCAAACAGAGACGCTGTGGTCCCTCGCTGGGGGCTTGGCGCCTGCAGGGGCCCTGGGCGGCAGCTCCCAGCAGCCACGCCCTACAGCCACCCTTGGCCAGCAGCTCCAGGCTCCTTGGGCTGGGATCCTGCCAAGGGTCAGTCGGGTGGGAGGGACAGGGAGGTGTCCTAACTCCAAGCACTTCACAGTTTAGAAAGCCCCCTGGCTGGGTGCCATGGCTCACGCCTGCAATCCTAGCACTCTTGGAGGCCGAGGTGGGCAGATTGTTTGAGCTCAGGAGTTCGAGACCAGCCTGAGCAAGAGCAAGACCCCGTTTCTACTAAAAAATAAAAAGAAATTAATTGGCCAACTAAAAATATATAGAAAATCTTAGCCAGGCATGGTGGCGCATGCCTGTAGTCCCAGCTACTCGGGAGGCTGAGGCAGGAGGATGGCTTGAGCTCAGGAGTTTGAGGTTGCTGTGAGCTAGGTAACAGAGTGAGACTCTATCTCAAAAACAAAAACAAAAACAAAGCACCCCACAGGCACCTTGTCTCCTTGGATCCCCGCAAGTGCTACAGAGAGGGGTCACCAGCCCTGTTGCACCTCTCCGAGCAGCAGGGCGGCCTGGCCAGCGTGCACCTCACGCAAACTGCCCATTTTAAAGGGGCGGACAGCCCGAGGAAGCGTCTTTCTACTCCAGCGACGCTGAGTGCTGAGAAGGGAAACCGAGGTGGGCGAAGCTGGAGTCTGCGCCCATGACTGTGAGCAGCCCTTGAGGAATCCCTTGGCTGGGCCGGGCACTCACCTCTTTCCCATCTTTGGTGACACTGCGAACCGTGTGCTTGTCGACGAAGCTGGCTATGCCGTTAAAGTACTTCACTTTTCTGCAGAATAAAGATAAGATTTTCGGGCCGGGCGCGGTGGCTCACGCCTGTAATCCTAGCACTCTGAGAGGCCGAGGTGGGTGGATCGTTTGAGCTCAGGAGTTCGAGACCAGCCTGAGCAAGAGCGAGACCCCATCTCTATTAAAAATAGAAACAAATTAATTGGCCAACTAAAAACACATAGAAAAAAAATTAGCGGGGCATGGTGGCGCATGCCTGTAGTCCCAGCTACTTGGGAGGCTGAGGCAGGAGGATTGTTTGAGCCCAGGAGTTGGAGGTTGCTGTGAGCTAGGCTGACGCCACGGCACTCACTCTAGCCTGGGCAACAAGAGTGAGACTCTGTTTCCAAAAAAAAAAAAAGAAAAAGATAAGATTTTCAGACACGTCCTCTGCAAATTAAACCTCACCCATGGCAATAAACAGAGGCACTGCCAAAAGGCAGCTCCACCCCCGGCTCCCACCATGCTGGGAAGCGTGGGGGGGCAGTGGGGACACTGAGCCCGCCCCCCGGGTTCCTTGGGACATGTGACCACAGGGGTGAAAGACACAGGCAGCAGCCAGCTGGGCAGAGTCCTGAGAGGCCACGCCCACCCAGCTATGGTGTGCGGAGAGGTGGTGGGCCTGGAGCCTGGGCATGTCCCAGCAGGGAGCGGCAGTGCCCAGGTAGGTGGCACCTTCTACCTTCAGGGATTTCAGGGGCACAGTGAGGCCAGGAGACGGGGGGGCGACAAGAGCGCCGGAGGGCACGTCGGCGGTCAGGCGCGCGTGGGGCGCAGAGGACCTGCACTTTCTCATGACAGGCAGCAATGGTCTGGGAGACTCCGCCTCCTTCCTCAGCTGGGGCTGGGCCTGTGCATGCCCACCTGGGAGCTGCCAGGGCTGGAAGGAAGGAGGGCAGAGCCTGCTGCCCCCAGGAAACTGCACCAGGGAATACGGAGCCCCACACAGAAGACACACAAAAACTCTGCAGCCCGACGAGCTTAGCTCACTGGCCAGGGTGGGCAGAGTGGCCGGCTTCCCTGGCTCAGTTTTCCTGGATTTAGGGGGCACAGAACTGCTGCCTGCTGCAGAGTCCCGGGAAGACCCAGAGGGCCAAGTACGGGTGCATAGGGAGAGCCAGCAGACCTCTGTAGGCCCCAGCCCACGTGGGCACCGCAGGGCTACGGTGTCAGGAGCAGCCCGGCAAGCGCAGGTTTCGGGCACTGCGCCTCCAGCAGCCGAGCCTCAGGGGAAGCTTCAGATGGGAGGAAACATCAGCATCTGAGCTGGAGACCCCGCAGGGCTGACGGGAATGGCGGTCCCAGGCTGCGGTGATCGCACAGGGGGAGCAGGAAGGTGTGCAGTTTGTGCCGCAGGACATAAAGTGCCGGTGTGGGCCGTGCGAGGTGGCGCATGGGGTCCTGGGCTCCATCCACGTAACTGTGGTGGGTGAAGGGCCACCTGCCTCCAGGAGGTGCCTGCCACTGGGGTGACCCCGCTAGCCTATCGGCCCTGAGCACCCCGCTCCTTGCATAGCCCCAGGCTCTGGCCCGCTGCCAATGTGGCCTCGCTCATGCCTCAGCCTCTAGACTCTGCTCAGGGCCAGGCTGTAGGGGCACGTCCCCAGCAGGGACCCCCATCTTCTCCTGATCTGTGCCCCACCCGTGAGCAGGAACACCCCTGGTCCTGTCTCTTCGGAGCCCTCAGGGCCCATTGGGGCGGGCTCTGCACGTGTCCAGGGGCAAGACGCCTAAGAGAAGGTGAGGTGCGCGCCTGTCCCCTGAAGGCCATCCGCACGACCACAGGGCCTGGTGAGGCTCCGCACCTGTCCTGCAGCTGGATGCGGTGCCCCCAGTTCAGGGACTTCACGTGGTTCTGGACAGCTTCTGCCATCTTCTTCCTGTTAACAAACAAAATGTCAAAACCACAACACACGTGTTAGCTGCAGAGTCTCAAAACGGACTGTTAGTGGCAGACGGTGTGCTCACAGGAACATCAAGAAATGATAACCTCACAATGGAACTGAGAAGAAGAAAAAAAGGAAAAATAGTATATAAAAAATAAGAAATTAAAAAAAAAACAAAGAAAAAAAAAAAAAAAAAAAAAAAAAAAAAAAGAAATGAGAGGCCGGGTGCGGTGGCTCACACCTATAATCCTAGCACTTTGGGAAGCCAAGGCGGGTGGATTGCTCGAGGTCAGGAGTTTGAAACCAGCACTGAGCAAGAGTGAGACCCTGTCTCTACTATAAATAGAAAGAAATTAATTGGCCAACTAATATATATAGAAAAAATTAGCCAGGCATGGTGGCGCATGCCTGTAGTCCCAGCTACTCGGGAGGCTGAGGCAGGAGGATCGCTTGAGCCCAGGAGTGTGAGGTTGCTGTGAGCTAGGCTGACGCCACGGCACTCACTCTAGCCTGGGCAACAAAGCAAGACTCTGTCTCAAAAAAAAAAAAAAAAAAGAAATGAGAGTGTTTTAAAGGTGGCGGATGTAACATCCATCCCAGGTTTGGGGCTGTGGGCCTTTGGACTCACAGAACATGAGGGCTTGGGCCTGTAGCCAGAGCAGCGGCCATCTGAGAATGTCCGAGCCATTGCGGCGGCTCTAAACAGAGTCACGCAGGTCCCCTTCCAGAAAGAGCTGGGGGCCGACCGTGCTCGGCGGGGCTGTCCTGGGCCCTGGGCCCTGCCTCGGAGAGGTAGCAAACCCTTCCCCCTGGTGACAACCCGAAATGTCTCCAGAGCTCGCCAAATGTCTGCGGGGGCGGCATAGAGTCCCCCTGGCTGGAACCTCACCCTACAGCACCCCCGCACCCCATGAGGGTGACTGGGGAATAACCCTCCTCCTCCGCCGCCAAGAGAGGCAGAGAAGCACTGGGAGGCACTCACCAGCTGTGCGGCACGGGCTCAGCAACCTCCCAGCCGTAGTGCCGGGCGTCGCGGACCATGTCCCCCAGCAGCGCCGCCTGGTGCATCAGCTTCTTGGGGATGCAGCCCACGTTGACACAGGTGCCACCAAGGCCCCACCTGGTGCCTGGGGTGTCAGGAAGAACACGTTTGCATTCATATTCCAATGGCCCCTGGAGATTTCCCTGTTCTTCCACCCGGTGTGGGAATCCCTTTATGTGGTTTTGAGACTCAAATGCAGCTCGGGCGAACCTGGCCCCACAAACCTGTTCTCCACAACCTTATCCAGAGTCGTTTTTAAGATGCGAGTGACAAAGTTTAGACATGTGTGAGACGAGCCGCTGCCCGGAGACTACAGACAGCAGGGCATGAAGGACTTGGCGTCGGCTGCCCCCGCGCGCTCACTGGGCCCGTCTGCCCTCCCTCCCAGGACAAGGCTCACGAAGGGGCTGCTCACCTCGGGGAGACGGTTCCACATAGTCCACCACGGCCACCTTCCTCCCCAGCTGAGCAGCTGGAATGACAAGGAGAGCGTCAGTTGAGCACAAGACAGCAAGAGGGGACGGGGACTCCCAGGGGCCCATGAGGCCCGCAAAGGGCAGGGAAGGGCCCCGGCCTGCAGCTGCCCGCACAGTCGCCAGGCTGAGCTGTGAGATAGCCCTGATCTGCCACGGTGCCCTGGCCCCCAGAGCTGCACTGCCTACATATTCCGTGCCGGTCCCCTGGCCTCCCACTGCACCCCGCTGTGCTGCCCACAGGCAGGAACCCTTGGTTCTCTCCTGAGACCACAGCCTCCACGCTGCCCACCACCGCAGCGCTGGCACCAGCACCCCTCACCCGCTGCCCCCACCCGGGCTCCAGTCCCAGGTACTCAGCATGAGCCCAGGGCCCCCCAGCAGGAGAGGCCCAGCCGGGAGGCTCTCCCTTGCTCCCTTCCCAGCTGCCCAGAGCCCCCGCGTGGGTGTTTGCTGCATCACCCTCAGGGCCAGGAAGCAAAGCTTGGGAGAAGTGAAGCCGTAGGTCCAGAGTCGCTCAGCCCAGCGTGGCAGCAAGACCCAGACTCTAGACCCTGCTTCCTGCCATGGAGCTGTCCAGCCATCCTCCGGGCCATCGGCAGGACCACATGGGCCAAGGGCCCAGGTTCTGAGGCCACCTTAGAAACATTCGCCAGGGCTAATTTCAGGGCTAGCTTCCAGCTTGCCTTGGGCATGGCCCCAGCAAATCTCAGGCCTTGGACTTGACCACTGCCAAGGGCACGCCGGACTTAAGTCTCAGGAACCAGTAAGTATTCCAAACACTACAGGACATGCTCGACTCACAGCTATCAAAAATCAGGATTAGAATAAAGTTTCAGAACAATTCACCTTCCAAACCCATTTTGCTCAACTGAAGGAACAGTGGGATTCTCACACCCAGTTTAAAGGGTCAGGCTGAGGGTGCGCTTCAAAACGCCATCGTCCCACTCCCATCTGACCACGATGGGGCAGCAGCGCCCAGATCTACCTCCCTCCCTCCCAAAACAGCCAAAAATCCAGACATAATACATGAAACGATGCGTTAAGAAACTGGTATCAGGTAACAACAAAGGACCCGGGAGATAAGAAACAAACAAGGTGGGGCTTAGACCTGCGGTGGGGGCAACCCGGCAGAGTCCAGTGTGGGGAAGGACAGAGTGACTGCGTCCAGGGACACTGAGGCAGACAGAACTCACGGGGCACAGGAGGAGGGAGCTGCGTCAGCGAGGCCAGGGATAGAACCACCCGGAAGGGCCGAGGGGACAGTGCTAAGAGGGGGCAGGGAAGGGTACCCATTCTTAGAAGCCAGACTGGGAGAAACAGACAATTCCTGGGCACTGGGTCACGGCTCAGCAGCTGAGAATAACGAGCCCTAGACTGGGCGCTGCTCCTCACACGCGACAAAGCTTAGATAGACACTCAAAGGGATCAAACTGTCTCTCGATAACTTACTGCATCCCAGAACAAAGTCCAATAACACTATTTCTAGAAATACAAAAATTTCTAGAACCCAACAGGCAAATTAAAAGTATCTGATATTCAAGCCGGGCGCGGTGACTCTCGCCTGTAATCCTAGCACTCTGGGAGGCTGAGGCGGGCGGATTGCTCAAGGTCAGGAGTTCAAAACCAGCCTGAGCGAGACCCCGTCTCTTCCATAAAAATAGAAAGAAATTAATTGGCACACTAATATATATAATATAAAAAAAAAAAATCAGCCGGGCATGGTGGCACATGCCTGTAGTCCCAGCTACTCAGGAGGCTGAGGCAGGAGGATTGCTTGAGCCCAGGAGTTTGAGGTTGCTGTGAGCTAGGCTGACACCACGGCACTCACTCTAGCCTAGGCAAGAAAGCGAGACTCTGTCTCAAAAAAAATAATAAAAATAAAAAAAGTATCTGATATTCAACCAAAAATTACCAGGCACGCAAAGAAGTGTGAGAATACACCACCCCAGGGGGAAAAAAGTCAGTCAATTGAAAAGGATGGAAAACTAACACAGACGCCAGAAGCAGCAGAAAAGATCAGGAAAACTGGTGTTTGTTCTTTTTTTAAAGACAGAGTCTCACTCTGTTGCCCGGGCTAGAGTGAGTGCCGTGGCGTCAGCCTCGCTCACAGCAACCTCAAACTCCTGGGCTCAAGCAATCCTCCTGCCTCAGCCTCCCAAGTAGCTGGGACTACAGGCATGCGCCACCATGCCCGGCTAATTTTTTCTATATATTTTTAGTTGGCCAATTAATTTATTTCTATTTTTAGTAGAGACGGGGTCTCAATCTTGCTCAGGCTGGTTTCGAACTCCTGACCTTGAGTGATCCTCCTGCCTCGGCCTCCCAGAGTGCTAGGATTACAGGCATGAGCCACCCCACCCGGCCAAAACAGGCACCTTTAACTATCCTATATGTTCAAAGTCACAGAGCAACACAGAAGATATAAGGAAAGAACCAATCCGAATTTGCAAAGATGAAAATTACAATATAGGAGGTGAAAGACACACTGAGCAGGATAAACAGCAGATTACATGTTGCAGAATCTTTTATTAGTGAATTTGAAAACACAGGAATAGAAATTATCCAAAATGAACCACAAAGACAATACTAAAATGTTATGGGAAGCTGAGGCAGGAGCACTGCTTGAAGTCAGGAGTTCAAGACCAGCCTGAGTAGGAGTGAGACCCCATCTCTACAAAAAAATACAAAAAAAAAAAAAAAATTTTTTTTTAATGAAAAGACCAACAGTAAGCAGAGGGGCAGCATCAAGCAGCCTCAGATGTGTGCAATTAAAGTCTCCAAAAGGATGGGCAAGAGGGAAGGACAGAAAAATTATTTGAAGAAATAATGTATGAAAACTTTCACAACTGGATGAATCCATTGAACTGAGAAGCTCAGTGAACTCTAGCCAAAAAAAATAAAATAAAATAAAGGCACAGCATAATTAAAAAACATTGTTCTAAACCAATGAAAATAGAAAATCCTAAAAGTAGCCACAGGAGCCGGGCGTGGTGGCTCACGCCTGTAATCCTAGCACTTTGGGAGGCCGAGGCGGGCGGATTGCTCAAGGTCAGGAGTTCGAAACCAAGCCTGAGCGAGACTCTACCAAAAATAGAAATAAATTAATTGACAACTAAAAATATATATACAAAAAATTAGCCGGGCATGGTGGCGCATGCCTGTAGTCCCAGCTACTCGGGAGGCTGAGGCAGTAGGATCGCTGAGCCCAGGAGATTGAGGTTGCTGTGAGCCAGGCTGACACAACGGCACTCCCACTCTAGCCTGGGCAACAAAGTGAGACTCTGTCTCAAAAAAAAAAAAAAAGTAGCCACAGGAAATAAAGGCACACTTCAGAGAAATAGGACAAAGATGGCAGCAGATTCCTCATTAGAAACAATGCAAGTGAGGCCAGGCGTGGTGGCTCACGCCTGTAATCCTAGCACTCTGGGAAGCCAAGGCAGGTGGATTGCTCAAGGTCAGGAGTTCAAAACCAGCCTGAGCAAGAGTGAGACCTCGTCTCTACTAAAAATAGAAAGAAATTAATTGGCCAACTAAAAATATATAGAAAAAATTAGCGGGCATGGTGGCACCATGCTGTAGTCCCAGCTACTTGGGAGGCTGAGGCAGAGGATCACTTGAACCCAGGAGTTGAGGTTGCCGTGAGCTAGGCTGACGCCATGGCACTCTAACCCTGGCACAAGAGTGAGATCTGTCACAAAAATTAAAAAAAAAAAAAGAAAAGAAGAAGAAAGAAAGAGAGAAAACAGAGGGCCAAAGTTTCAGCATACTACGAGGGGAAAAAAACCTGTCTACGTTGAATTCTATATTCAGAGAAAATATATTTTTAAAATGAAGGCAAAATAAAGATGTTCCTCCATCTGGGAGGTTGAGGCAGGAGAAGTGCTTGAGGTCAGAAGACCAGCCTGAGCAAGAGCGAGACCCTGTCTCTACTAAAAATGGAAAATTTAGCCACCATGGTGGCGTACACTGGTGGTCCCAGCTGCTTGGAGGCAGAGGCAGGAGGATCACCTGAGCCCACAAGTTTGAGGCTGCTGTGAGCTATGATAACGCCACTGCACTCTAGCTTAGGAGACAAAGAAAGACTCTGTCTCAAAAAATAAGGACAGGACAGGACAGGAAAGGAAAGACCACATAAAAACTTACACACAAATGTTCATGGCATTACTCATAATAGCCAAAAAGTGGGATTGAACGATGCAATGTCCGTCACCTAACAGACAAATTGTGGCATATCCATACAGTAGAATATTATTCAGCCATGAAAAGGAACGAAGTGCTGATACATGTCGTGTCATGAATGCACACTGAAAACATCATGCTACGTGGAAGAAACAATGACAAAAGACCATATGTGATTCCATTTATATGAAATGTCCAGAACAGGCAGATCCATGGAGACAGGAAGTAGATCAGTGGTTGCCAGGGCCAGGGAGAGGGAATAGGGTGTGACTGCCAATGGGTACAGAGTATTTTGAGGGGAAATGAAATGAAAATTTCTAATGGTGGTGGCTGCACAACTTTGTGAATATACAAAAAAACACCGAATAATGGACTTTATTTTATTTTATTTTTTTTTTGAGACAGAGTCTCGCTTGTTGCCCAGGCCTAGAGTGAGTGCCATGGCGTCAGCCTAGCTCACAGCAACCTCAATCTCCTGGCTTCAAGCAATCCTCCTGCCTCAGCCTCCCGAGTAGCTGGGACTACAGGCATGCGCCACCATGCCCAGCCTAATTTTTATATATATATATATATAATGTATATATATATATATATATGTATATATATTATATAATAATTAGTTGGCCAATTAATTTCTTTCTATTTATAGTAGAGATGGGGTCTTGCTCTTGCTCAGGCTAGTTTCGAACTCCTGACCTCGAGCAATACGCCCGCCTCAGCCTCCCAGAGTGCTAGGATTAGAGGCGTGAGCCACCGCGCCTGGCTTGAATAATGGACTTTAAATGAGTGAATTACAGCTGACCCTCTAAACAACATGGATTTGAACTGTGTGTGTCCACTTCTATAGGTTTTTTTTTCCCAATAAATACAGTCCCTCCTATCAGTGGGTTCTATATCTGTAACCAAACTCAGATTGAAAATATAGCATTCATGGAATGTAAAATCTGCATGTATGTAGAGTTGACTTCGTATCTGTGGGTTCCAGAAGGCCCCCCTGACGACAGGAGTAGGGGTGGATTTTAGTATTCTGGTAACCGCAGGCAGCACTGGAACCAACCCCCCGTGATGCCGAGAGACAACTGTATTTGGCATATAATGTTTATCTCAATAAAACCATTATAAAAAATCGGACACCCTTTGGGATAAATCTGACAGAAGATTTTTTTTTTTTTTTTTTAGACAGAGTCTCGCTTTGTTGTCCAGGCTAGAGTGAGTGCCGTGGCGTCAGCCTAGCTCACAGCAACCTCACACTCCTGGGCTCAAGCGATCCTCTGCCTCAGCCTCCGAGTAGCTGGGACTACAGGCATGCGCCACCATGCCTGGCTAATTTTTTTTTTATATATATATATCAGTTGGCCAATTAATTTCTTTCTATTTATAGTAGAGACGGGGTCTCGCTCTTGCTCAGGCTGGTTTTGAACTCCTGACCTTGAGCAATCCGCCCACCTCGGCCTCCCAAGAGCTAGGATTACAGGCGTGAGCCTGACAGAAGATATTGAACACTTTAAAACACTGCTGTGAGAAATGAAGATGTATCTAAATAAGAAAAATACCACATGACCCAGCAGGTCCACTTTTAGGCATTTACCCAAAAGAATTTAAGACATGGGTGCACACAAAGACACACAGGCAAATGTTGCTGGCAGCACTATTCACAACAGCCAAAAAGTGGAAACCGCCAACCTAGAGTCCATCCACAGGTGACCGGACAAGTGACACCTGGCACAGCCACACAACAGACTGCCGCTCCGAGAGAACGAAGCATCCACACGTGCAGTGACACGGCTGAGTCTCAGGATAATCACACCTAGTGAGAGACACCAGAAGAGCACCTGTCGCAAGATTCCCCTGACACAGGATTTCAGAGAATGCAAACTAACCCGCAGTGAGTGAAAGCAGATCGTTGCTGCCTGGGGGTGTGCGGGGTGGGGTGCAGGAAGGGGTTCCCGACCTATGAGGAAACTTCGGGGGTTGTTATAGGCCGAGCTGTGTTACCCCAAAATTCCTACACGGAACCCCCTAACCCCAGCACCTCAGAACGTGACTGTGTGTGGATGTAGGTGCTCTGAAAAGGTAATCAAGTCAAAATGAGGCCGTGAGGGTGGGCCCTGATCCAGTAGGACTGGTGTCCTTGTAAGAGGAGATGAGGACACAGACAGGCAGAGGGACGGCCCTGTGAGGACACAGGGAGGAGACGGCCATTGGAGAGCCCAGGAGAGAGGCCTCTGAAGAATTGACCCTGCCCACACCTTGATCTGGGACTTCCGGCCTCCACGAGCAGCGGCATGGACAGCTTAGGCTAGACAGGTGGGGCGGACCCCGGGAGGCCCAGTGGCTTTCAGTGTGTAAAGCGGGAGCCCTGGAGCCCAGGAAGGCAGCCCAGGTAAAGAGCACACCATGGCTGCTGTGCACAGGGCAACAGGGCACAGGGAGGGTCCACTGGGGTGCTCCTGGCAGGCCAGCTGTGAAGGTCATGCATCCTGCTCATGCACCTTCAGGACAAAGTCACCCTCTCCAGAGGGCCCCAGAAGTGCCAAGGCCCTGCCATGCCAAGGGGATGCAGGACACAGGATACGTACCTTCCTTGGCACAAGCCAGGCCGCCAGATCCCCCGCCAATTACCAGGAGATCATAGTCACGCTGCCCTGTTGGGGGAAGGAAGGTAAGATGAGAAGGAGGAAAGTCAGCCCAGGGCTGGGGCACAGGCTCACAAAGGCCCCCACGATGCCCAATCAGCGAGCAACGCTGTTTGGCTAAATGTGATGCAGGATCTATTTTATCACGATGGGAGACCCCATCCTTTGAGGCACAGGGATGAAAACATACCACCCGACGGAAGAGAAAGCAATGACTTTGCACATGTGATCTGTGCAAATCCAGGGGCCCAGCAATGCCATGATGAGGCTGGCCAAAGCATGTGCCATCACCTTTGCAAACCACGCCTCCCACACACACCTGTGTCAACCAGTAGGACTCCTCTGAACTCAAACTTCGCCCAGTGTTCTAAGCCAGACACAGAGCTAAAACATTCTCCTTGGGTCCCTGTGCCTCTCAGGTGTAAAGATCACCCTGTGTTACGAGTGAGCAGGAGTAAAAGCATGGCCCCTACCACATGGAGGTGGCAGGTGTGCGGCTTCACTGTGATCTGGGAGGAAAGCAACTGGGCATAGCAGGCGCTGCCCGGGCTCAGGTGTCATTCCTGGAGTTCCTTCTGCACTCACGGCAGTGTGGCCTTGGTCCTGCACTGCGGCTCACAGCACAGAGGGCCGCGCAGCCTTTCTGCCCCGCAGAAGGCATCATCTGTCTCTACTCTGCCACCTACTGCCATGGAAGGCAGGCAAGAGATGCCCCCCTAAAAAAATGGAAGGGGGCGATGCAGAGGAAGGGAGTGTAGGGAGGAGGGAAGGGGAAGAGCTCTGACCTGGACCTGAGGTCAGGGACACCCACCACCAAGCACCAGCCCACTCCCTGAGTGAAGGAAGAAATAACAGAAAATTGTCAGTCCATGGAGGGTGAGGGCAGGATAGGGGCTGGTGACAAAGGTCTGGGTATAAGACAAGTAGAAATGCCTCCAGCCTCTTTGCAGACATAAGCCTGCCAGGATGAGAGGAGTGCCACCCTCATGGGGTGTCCGGAGCTGGTCGCTGCTCCTGGGCAAGGCCCAGAGGTCCCACCAGAGTGAGCTCTGCCACCCAAGGCTGGGGCGTCTCCCAACACCAGCATCAGAGCCTCGCGCTGTCGTGAGGCTGTGCCGTCTTTGCATACACCTCAACGCTCAGAGTCCCACATCCCTCAAGGACCCCAGCTCCGCACATGCCCCCAGACCAGGGTCTAGACCCTGCATTCCTAAATGGACACAAGAGCCAGGGCCTAGATGTGCCTCGCTTGTGGCTGAGAAAGCCCAGAAGCTGCCACCTGGAGCTGTGCTCAAGCACACACAGGCGCCTGCAGCCAGCCTGGCCCACGGCTGGGCCCACCCGTGCCTCCGCCCAGCAGTGGTGTTTGCGTGCGTGTCAAGCCAACCCAAGGCACAGATTCTGAATTCAACTCAAGGACTTTGAAAAGGCCCAGACTGTTGTAAATTGCTCTGATGACTTTGATGTGAGCCAAGAGAACTAAGGACGCCTGCAGGTTGAGAAGCTGTCCCTGGGCCCTAGGGAGTGCAGGCCTCTCTCCCCTCCCGCTGCCTGGTGGCCCGGAGGCTTTGCCCAGAAGAATGTCCCTACCTTCCATCGCAGGTGCCTGTCCTTCCTGTCACCAGAGCAGGGTCCTTGCTGGCTGTCCTGCCTATAGCCCTGCTATCAGGCAGAGCACAGGGCCAACGGCTGGCTCTGTGCAGTGAGAGCTTATCTGGGCGGCTCGCTCTGCTCTGTGCACACCCAGGAGCCCTCTTGGTCTGATAAACACTGGAACAGCCAGCGGAGCCATTTCTAAGTTAGGAAACCTGCCTTTAAGCACTTAGGAGGGTTTGGTTGGCCTGCTGGGGAGCAGGGGCTCCAAAGGACATTGAAGGTGGGTGGGGCAGGTGCTGCTCCATGGGAGGAAGGGCTGGGCAACTGGCATTACCTGGGGGGCACCACCTGTGCACTCCGATACCCTGGGGAACCCCATGGTACTTCCCCCCTTTGGCCCCCCATGCTCCACCCGCAGGGCACGAGTGTTTCTGCTTTGCCTCTGCTTTCTCCAATACTGTCCTGTACTTTTCCACTCCTCTCTGAACCAGGTACCTAGGACAGGGCCATTAAAAGCAGGAGCCCTGCACACATGGCAAGGCCTGAGTGCACAGTGCCCTGCTCCAGTGAGGGTAAGCGGAAGCTCCCCACAAAATGTGCACCCACAGGCAAGCTGGCCACCTTGGGGATCCACCTGTGTGGCCGGTCTCCTTACCTAGAGCCCTTTCCTAGCAGCAGGTGTTAGGGGACAGGTGAGACCAGCAGCATTGTTCTGGTTCCTGTTCAGGGACTGCATCTACCACCCCTCAAGCCTGTGACAGGGCTGGTGCCTTCCTGCTCTGAAAACAGAAACTTCAGGCCTGAAATGGAGGAGGTGGCCCAAAACTGGACCGTGGGAGCTGGGTACAGTAGCACGCACCTATAGTCCCAGCTACTGGGGAGGCTGAGGCAGGGGGATTGCTTGAGTCCAGGAGTTCGAGGCTGCAGTGTGCTATGATCACATCTGTGAATAGCCACTGTACCTGGGCAACATAGCACGACCCGGTCTCTAAAAACAATTATTGCACTCCAGAGTCTTTGTTAGGGGTTGGCCACCTTCTCCAGGCCCTATCAGCTCCTCATCAAGCCAGCAAAGAGTGCTCAGAATCCTCAGAGCACCTCCTGCCCAGCTGGAAACCAATCACTCTGCCCCAAGGCCACAGTCACCCAGCAGCCTGAAGGGGCAGCTCCTGTTTATGAATCTTTCACTGGCACCAGGGGGGGGTTAGGCCTCCATTGGCACAAGTGTATTTAATCCTTATGAATGTCCCTACCTGACATATACAGTAAGGAAGCTTTGAAAGAGGGGTGTCCTCACCAGGCTCTCTGGGGTTAGCAAAGCCACAATAAGAGCAGCCCTAGGTCGCCTCATGAGATGGTGGCCACCTGCCACCCAGGACCCCACAGGGCCACCCTTCACCTGGGAGCTCCCCAAGATCTGGACAGTAACAGCTCTGTTTACACGTGCAGTCAGCCCTCCTCCTGAGTCCACCACTGGCGAGGGGCATGCCACCTGCCTCCCACGCGATATCTCTGTGAAGCAGCCTGAGCCAGTCCCAGCTCACACCCTCCACACTCTCTCCCTATGGGGAGAGCTGAGCTCTGTCGTGGGCACCAAGGGGCAGGGTGACGGAGGAATCCCCTGTGTGGCAGAGGCCATGTTGTCACGCATGGACATGCCAGGCCACAGCAGATGGGGGCGGTCTGTGGCCAGCTTTGGGGGAGCTGGTCCCGCAATGTATGGCGCGACCTCTCCAGGTGGCAGTGGTGGGGGTAGTCCCTGCTGCCCGCACTCAAAGTGGCCATTAGCGTACTGATTTGGTCGGTGTCCCTCGGTAAGCTCCGGGAACGAACGCACACCCCTCCTCCCCACGGCGCCCGCAGAGCCCGCCTCCAGTGGGTGCTCAGGGCAGCACCTTCACGCCCGCCCCGCACGTGCGCACCCGCTACGCGCGCCTCTAAGGCTGGGGAGGAGGCCAGAGGTCTGGCCAGGGGCGCACGGTGGCCTCAGGAGGCGGCCGCCGTTAGGGCTAAGAGGTACCCGGGCTTGCGGACCCGGCCCGCACAGCAGGACCTCAGGGCCACCGCCTCAGTTTTCCCATCTGGGAAGGGGCTCCCGGGGGCTGGGCGCGGCCCGACCCCTGCCCAGGAGGCCGGTGCGCGGCCAGGGACACCCCCGCGGGGACGCCCGCCCGGCCCCTACCTGCGCGCCCCACCGCCCGCCGCCGCCGCCAGCCACCACCGGAAGCGCGCGCCGGACCCGCGCGCCCGCCGCCATCGCTGCTCCGCCGGGCCTCGGGCGCGGGGGTCCGCGGCGCTGCCTGCACGCGCCGGCGGGGCGGGCCGGCGGGGCCGGCGGGCGCGGCGCGGGAGGTGAGTGCGCGGCCGCGGGGGGTCTCCGGCCCCGTTGGGGGTCTGCGCGGGGCTGGGGAGCTGGGGCCTCAGTGAAGGGGTCTCCGGCCCTGGGCGGGAAGCCCTGGTGTGTGCTGTGGGGGGGGAACTCGCAGTGCTGGGAAGGGATCTGACTTTGGCCGTGTAGGGGTGGGGAATTCGGACCCCTGTGAGGGCATCTAACCTTGGGTGGGGGGTCTCTGGACAGGGGCAAGGTCCCCAGATTCGTCATAGCGAGGAGGGGCTGAGGATCTGTGCCTGGGTGTGGGGACTCCAGACATGGGTGGGAGATTCGGCCTCAAGTCTCCGGTGGGGTCCGCAGGAGGATCAGCCTGTCCCCGGGATAGGGCGTGGCCCACCGTGGAGGGTCCCAAGGCTGGGGTCAGACCCACAGAGCTGCGGTGGGGGCGGGGCGGGCATAGGAGAGGCTCTGAGTGGTCTCCCCAGCAGGCTCCTTCTTACAGGCCTTGGGGTGCCCTTGGGCTTTTTCCGTGCAAGAGAATGGCACCCCCCACCCCTGCGTGGTCTGCACCCTGCCTGCCTCCTGCCACAGGGGAATGTCCGAAGGGGAAGTCACCCCAGACTGCCCTGCTAACAGACCAGCTTTTCATATTTCTCCAGTGAGAGATTTTTGTGTCCTGTTGCTTTTCATTGTTTTCTGTGACCGCCCCCCGCCAAGCCTGAGAGAGCCTGAGAGCTGCCCTGAGAACCTGCTGCCTCCCCGAGAGAGCCTTGCACGGCCCAGGGAGGAGCCACTTTAAAGAGAAATAAATGCAGCCTTAATGGGACAAAAACTTTTTAACCTAGTCACTGCTGACAGGAGGAGAGAGCTGAGCTCCGTTCCAGTTTGTCTAGAGGTGACTGGTGGCGGGCGACTGGCAATGTCAAGAGGGCCTTGAGGGGTAGGAGCAGGAACTGGGGGCTCAGTGGAGTTGGGGGGTGGGACATTACAAAAGCAGGAAGGAGGGTGGGTCTGTGGAAGCTCTGCTGGGCTGGCCACCAGTGATGACTGCAGTCAGCTCCTGCCATGAGCCTGGGAGACAGGTGTCTTCAGGGCTTCGCTGGGATAGACCTGAGGTCCTTTTGGCATCCTCTAATTTTCTCTGCAGGTTCAGGGGGCTGTAGCCTTGAGCTGTTAGAAACGATTCTATGGTTTGTTCAAGGCCCAGTTGAGAAGAGGACTCAGAGGAGCCCAGCTGGAGGGTGGTTGGGGGAGAATCTTTGCCAGTCCTTGTCTTGGTCAAGAAAAGAAGAGATATTCCAGGCCGGGTGTGGTGGCTCACGCCTGTAATCCTAGCACTCTGGGAGGCCGAGGCAGGAGGATCGGTCAAGGTCAGGAGTTCGAAACCAGCCTGAGAAAGAGTGAGACCCTGTCTCTACTAAATATAGAAAGAAATTAATTGGCCAACTAATATATAGAGAAAAAATTAGCCAGACATGGTGCCGCATGCCTGTAGTCCCAGCTACTCGGGAGGCTGAGGCAGGAGGGTCGCTTGAGCCCAGGAGTTTGAGGTTGCTGTGAGCTAGGCTGCCGCCACAGCACTCACTCTAGCCTGGGAACAAAGTGAGACTCTGTCTCAAAAAAGAAAGAGACATTCCTTTCTTCTGAACAGTATGCATCCATTTCTGTTCAGTGTCTTTTACTGGTGCAGGACCAGCTGAACCATCTACTGAGACTTGGTGGTGGAGGATGTTTGTTGGGTCACTCATGCAATCGGGCATTTAACGAGGGCCATTCCTGTGGGAACAAAAAGAAAAACAAAGATAAATGGTTGGCACAGACAATAAACCCAGTCTAGCAGGCAGCCAGTTGAGAAAGTTTCTAGAAGTTGGGCTCTGCGGGTCTCTGTTCAGTGGAATGAGGACAGTTGTGGTGATCTGATAGATTTCTCAGCTCGTACTCTGAATGTTGGTGATGACAGTGTAGACATAGTGTCACAAGCCACGGCTAGTTCCCGGCGCAGGGCATGGAACACACGGGCTCTAGCCCATAGGTGATTTGTCGTGATGATGAGTCCTTCAAAGTTTATGTCACGTTGTCTGGCTTCTGCGTGCTGGGCTTTTTTAGGTAGTGGAGTGGCAGCTACAGGACAGTCTGGGTCCCAGGAAGGATCTGGGAGTCAGGTTTGTGTTCTCTCAATGCCACGTCAGCAGGGAGGGAGAAAAATGAGAAATATCGATGTGGAGTCTGGTGGCCAGATATGGAAGGAAGGCAGAGGGACTGGGGGCTGGCAAGGCTGGCAGGATGTGTGGGAGGCGGGACCCAGTCCAGTTTTACTGGTAGATCATAAAACCTCAAACACAATGAAGGAGACTAAACTCTGATAACCCCCAAGGGTGTGTTATTTTGTCCACTGAAAGATAACATTTCTCCCTGTAACCACCTGCTTATTGATTGAGGATAAAAGTAAGATTATTCTTGTTTACAAAATAATTCTGGTCTCATTAAATTTGGCCTGTTGATATATGTTAAGTGCAGCAAGAAGTGTAATTGACCTTTTAAGTTTGCTTCACTGGAACTTTTTTTTTTTTTTTTTTTGACATTTTGAGACAGGGTCTCACTCTGTCACTTGGGCTAGAGTGCTGTGACATCAGCCTAGCTCACAGCAACCTCAAACTCCTGGGCTCAAGTGATCCGATCCTCCTGCCTCAGCCTCCTGAGTAGCTGGGACTACAGGTGTGCGCCACCATGCCCGGCTAATTTTTTCTATTTTTAGTAGAGACAGGGTCTCGCTCTTGCTAGGGCCGATCTCAGACTCCCAGGCTCAAGTAATCCTCCTGCCTGGGGCTCCTGAAGTGCTAGTATTACAGGCGTGAGCCGCCGTGCCTGGCCACTGGAACTTTTAATGAGGATTCTCAGATTGGACTTTATAAAATCCTCTTGAGGCTGTGAAGCCAAGCGGAGAACTTGCTATCAGACTTCACCTACAATACCTATAGATTTTGGGTGAATTCTCTTGGTGTCTCCAAAATATTGTAAGGTTCCTGGGCCTGCCAGGAAGTGACTTTCCTTACTCACATACTAGACAGGGAACCCTGTAAGTCAGGCACCAGGCTAGGTTTTTCAAGAGGGCTTTGTTGAGCATTATGTCTGAGTGGACTAATAATAGAAAAAAGATAATAAAGAGTGAGAAAAAAATTAATGTAAAATTTTAAATTATTTTTAAAAAAGAGGGCTTTGTAAGCATTGGTTCCATAAGGTCAGCCTTAAAGCTGTCTGGGCATATCTGAGTCCCAGTAGGTCTGGGCAGTCAGATTTACAACATTTCCAAATAGGACATTCGAGCCAATGCCTTGGTAATGTAGCCAGTGTTCTAGTTGTGTCCTGTTACAAGGAGAACAGATGTTTATTGAAGTTATGCAGATAACTATATTGCCATGAAAGCAAGAATACTCAATAATAGTTCCTGATTTTTGGAGGGATCAGGCAAGAAGAAAAAGATAAATGTTTTGATTTTGTTTACAAAACTATAATTTTAGATTAAGAGAAAAGGGACA